ACTTGCCACAGTGTAAAAGAGTTTGTGTGTAAAAGTGTTTGTGTGTAAAAGTGTTTGTGTGTAAAAGAGTCTGTATGTAAAAGCTTTTGTGTGTAAAAGTGTCTGTGTGTAAAAGCGTCTGTGTGTATAAGCTTCTGTGTGTAAAAGTCTCTGTGTGCAAAAGTGTTTGTGTGTAAAAGCGTCTGTGCGTAAAAGCGTCTTTGTGTAAAAGTCTTTGTGCGTAAAAGCGTCTGTGTGTAAAAGCGTCTGTGTGTAAAAGCTTCTGTGTGTAAAAGCTTCTGTGCGTAAAAGCGTCTGTATGTAAAACCGTCTGTGTCAAAGCGTCTGGGTGTAAAAGCGTCTGCGTGTAAATGCGTCTGTGTGTAAAAGTCTCTGTGTGTAAAAGTGTTTGTCTGTAAAAGTGTTTGTGTGGAAAATTGTCTGTGTGTAAAAGTGTTTGTGTAAAAGCGTCTGTGTGTAAAAGTGTTTGTGTGTAAAAGCTTCTGTGTGTAAAAGCTTCTGTGTGTAAAAGTGTCTGTGTGTAAAAGCGTCTGTGTGTATAAGCTTCTGTGTGTAAAAGTCTCTGTGTGCAAAAGTGTTTGTGTGTAAAAGCGTCTGTGCGTAAAAGCGTCTTTGTGTAAAAGTCTTTGTGCGTAAAAGCGTCTGTGTGTAAAAGCGTCTGTGTGTAAAAGCTTCTGTGTGTAAAAGCTTCTGTGCGTAAAAGCGTCTGTATGTAAAACCGTCTGTGTCAAAGCGTCTGGGTGTAAAAGCGTCTGCGTGTAAAAGCTTCTGTGTGTAAAAGCCTCTGTGTGTAAAAGGGTCTGTGTGTAAAAGCGTCTGTGCGGTGAAAAACCGTCTGTGTTTAAAAGCGTCTGTGGTGTAAAAGTCTCTGTGTGTAAAAGTTTCTGTGTGTAAAGGGTCTGTGTGTAAAAGGGTCTGTGTGTAAAAGCGTCTGTATGTAAAAGCTTCTGTGTGTAAAACCGTCTGTGTGTAAAATTCTGTGTGTAAAAGTGTTTGTGTGTAAAAGCGTCTGTGCGTAAAAGCGTCTGTGTGTAAAAGCGTCTGTGTGTAAAAGCTTCTGTGTGTAAAAGCGTCTGTGTGTATATAAAAGTCTCTGTGTGTAAAAGTGTTTGTCTGTAAAAGTCTGTGCGTAAAAGTGTTTGTCTGTAAAAGTGTTTGTGTGTAAAAGCGTCTGTGTGTAAAAGCTTCTGTGTGTAAAAGTGTCTGTGTGTAAAAGCGTCTGTGTGTAAAAGCGTCTGGGTGTAAACGCGTCTGTGTGTAAAGCGTCTGTGTGTAAAAGCTTCTGTGCGTAAAAGCTTCTGTGTGTAAAAGCGTAAAAACATCTGTGTGTAGACGCTTCTGTGTGTAAACGCGTCTGTGTGTTAAAGCGTCTGTGTGTAAAAGCGTCTGTGTGTAAAAGTCTCTGTGTGTAAAAGTGTCTGTGTGTAAAAGCTTCTGCGTGTAAAAGCTTCTATGTGTAAAAGCTTCTGTGTGTAAAAGCGTCTAAATAAAAGCTTCTGCGTGTAAAAGCTTCTGTGTGTAAAAGCGTCTGTGTGTAAAAGCTTCTGTGTGTAAAAGCGTCTGTGTGTAAAAGCGTCTGTGTGTAAAAGTCTCTGTATGTAAAAGCTCCTGTGTGTAACAGCTTCTGTGCAAAAGCGTCTGTGTGTAAAAGATTCTGTTTCAAAAACAATACGAACGATACGATGCAAAGTAACTAGTGTCTTGTGCTTGTAATATATTGTCTTGATACTACTTGTCTCGTCTGCCTATAGAACATCTTTAATATATTGTCTTATAAGATAGTGTCTCAATACTAACAACAGAAGACCCTGCTCCACTACGCTCTCGGGCCATCCGTCGTCTAGTTATATAGTGGTAAATTCCCGATTATTAGTTGGTGTAATAGATCATAATTCCAACATTTTGTTTAAGATCATATTCCCACTATCATCATTGGGACTCCATTTTAATATATGAGTGGAATAATTCCATTTATTATTTGTTAAATCCTATGTTAAATCAGTGGGTTGACTCATCCATCCCCAGCCACTGCGGGGTCCAGTGGCTGTCGATGTTGGAGGTGAAGGAAAAGAAGCCGAAGGGGCATCGTTGACCTCGAGATCAACGGGAATGTAAGTAAGGGAGCATATCATGGGAATGTATATCGAAATATAACCCATGTAATACAATACAATATAATATAATATAATATAATGTATATAATATAAAACATAATAAAACATAATATAACATAACATAACAAAATATAATATAGTTTAATATAGTATTTTAATGTAATGTAATAAAATGTAATATAATCTAATATAATATAATATAATGTAATATAATATAATGTAATATAAAATAATATAATGTAATATAATATAATGTAATATAATATAATATAATACAATATAATAATAACAAAAAAAAAATAATAATAATAATATATATATATAACAATTGGGATACTAACCCATATACCCTCTGGTAAATTAAGAGTTCAACCCTGCCAGATAATCATTGTGTTCAATGATGGTTTAAATGTTTCATGATGTTTATTGACTAAAAAAGCAACATGCCAGGGCTTGAAGGATTAATTAGTATATAAGTTTTCACTGAAATGGGTGATTTTCAGGGTCTATGTCTATTTACCAGAGGGTATGTATGTGATTACAATACGATGCAATAGATATATCATGGTGGTTATTGGGTGAGATTGGGATATTGGTATGTGCTTGGAATTGCGTTAGGGTTTAATGGGGTTTATACAGTAACCAAGAAGTATGAGGTTTAAGTAAGCCAGGAAATTTATAGTCACCCAGTTCTGTTTGGGCATCGGGATACAATGAATCCAGCTATGGGAACCAGTTGAGTCACTAGCCATGACGCATGGTCTTTCCAAAGGAAAAAACAGTTGGTTTACCCCGTCGCCCGTCACATTCTTGGTCTTGGTGCCTGATGTCCCTGATTTCATGTCACCGCCCCATGGTAATCCTATGCGCCATAGTCATGTATCATCCACTAGTGGGAATCCTTGCTATTAACATCATATGCCCATAATATCTCTATGAAAATGCACGACCATCCGTCAAGTACACTATTTCTTTCAACAATGTCACATGCATAATCCATTTATTATTGAATATCAGATCACATGCTCCCTAATATCCCAATATCATCAAATATCACCATTCTCTGACATGGGGATGTATCAATACCTATTAATACCAATATTAGTGGAATGAACATCCATTTACCAGCTATTTTGATGTTCACCAAGGGTACAAGGTTTTGACACACTGCCATATTATGTAACCTCCCCAAAAATCGAATGGTCAAACCCTAACTATCAGAGTTTTGGCGCCCTTTTTTTGCCACCCAGGGCTGGCATTCTTTGGCCGGTCGAGCTCGTCACCCTGGCGGCCTCAAAAACGAAGGGCTTTTCAGCCTCTGATGAAGCGGAATTAGTTGGGAAACTCAGCCACCATGATGGAGACATTAGTTAGACATATATATATATATATATGTCATATTAACTCTGGTGATAAACCATATATATATATATGTATGTAGATAGATAGCTGGTGATAATGGGAGCATAATAGGCGTACCCTTCCGCAAACATGCCCCTAAAAGAACTGTTCCGCTATGTTCCGCTCATTGGAGGGTACATGTTTTACTAATATTTATTGTATATTTATTGGAGATCATGAGGCCACGTGGAAAATCAATGAAAATCACCTCAACAGTCTCCTCTGGGTTTTCGTCAATGTCGTCTACCCCGCTGGATGATATCGTATTGATAGCTGGATGTTTTACGGGAAACCCCATGACTTAGGAAACCTCCACATCCTGATCTTTGAGAAAGTGCCAGGTAGTTCCGAGGTAGCACCTGCAAGGAGTTCCTGTGACTTTGTACAATTTTCTTGCCGGTAGATTGCAGGTCTGTAAAAATTGTCAGCTTCCTATTGAAGGGATTGGGTGGATGGGGTGTTTTTGGCGTGTTTTGCACGACACCCCATCTGCCTAAACAACCCACTTGAGCAACTCCTTTTTCACACATCAGCAACTCCAATTTTTGCGAAGAATGGAGAAATTGAAAAATCAGCGGCTTCCATTCCAAAAAAACATGTTGAAAGAAAACCATTGGCGATCTCAAGGACTGTGGGCCTAATTGACCTCTTAGAGGTCTCGGTCATATCATGGCTTAACACGGCAGCAACGTCCGCTCGGCTCGCGCGTTTTTGGGTGAAGCTGTTTTGTGTGAGGGTTCTCAAAACGGGGGATCCCCAAAATCATAGGTTTATGGTTTCCTACTACGACTAACATAGGCATGGTATAGATGGCCCATAGAAATAGATGATTTTCCCAGCTACTTGTAGAAACCTCCATTTATCTAAGGGATTTTCCATGGCTATGTTAAATAACCAGATGGTACCAGTAAGTCATGGTCATTCATGACTCATGACTAGGTTTTCTAATACTAAAATATACTGAGTCATGGTCCTTCATGAAGTGATTTGGGAGTACCCCGACGACTTGGGACACCTGCATCAATGTCAAACATCATGGGGATGCCAGGTGATACAGTTTTGACAATGTGACAAATTTGACTTTTTAGTATTTTTTTCTAGACCCTGGAAACACCTGGGTTTAGCATTGGAATGATGAATTGTGGTCCGGTCCCATGTCGGGATATCAGGGTCAGATCACTGGCCAATGGAAAAGACTCCCCTTATTGGGATTCCTTGCATGAGTAGCAATTCGTAGCGGAATTTATGAAGCATTGGATGTCAACCCCGCTGTTTCGGTGAAGAGCCAAGGCTCTGTGCCAGGAATGCTTGGGCAACAGGGGTCAGCAATGCATTGTGCAGAACTGCTACTTCAATAAACAACACTTTCAGTTCAAATATCCAATTTTCCAATCAATCCATGTTTCTCTTAAATCTCTTACCCTGCCTGCACCCGATAGCTGCATATTTTTGAAAAAACATCTATTATAAACATCAATCGTCACCTCACGCTGCGAGCGTGAGCTGCTGATTGGTGAAGTCGTCCTTCCGTGGCGGCAAGTTGTTCACGGGCGGACGACTAAAGGCCCAGAGCCTCAGGCGTAGAATGGGCCATTTCTATACCTCCACTGTGACAAAGCTATGGAACATCACCATTGTATAGGTAAATTGTCGGAAATGATCGATCAATGCGCCATGTTCGTCCATTTTCAGGAAGGGTAAATACGACATATGGAACCAACCAAAATGTCACAGATCAAATTTCATACGCTGAGTTTATGCTGTAGACATCATTGGAATTGCCAGTCCCCCCCGGCTGTTGGACACTGTTTGAGCCAACTGGTCCTAGGGGTCGGCGGCATGGGGGCGCCAGCCTCACTTATTACATACCAAAACCTACCGGACTGCTATGACGAAATACACGCAAGTTGGGTTGCCACAGTCGCTTGCCCCATGATTTCTTGATCCTCGATCTTGGTGGGCTATATTCCTTCGTCTCTGCTTAGAGATGTGTTGATTCTTGCTGGTTGATGTTTCGATCATGTTTGATCTTTGTTACATAAATTTCACAATTTTCATGGTTTTCAGGGGGGAAACCTCTATTGATCAAACATTGTTAATTGATGTCACTGTCTACAAAACCATTCAGAAACCCATTCGCTGGGGCAACCATCTTCCGCCCATGTCCGCCACGCCACTGAATGGGAGATGCCGAAGGCTGTCCCACAAAGCGCCACCTACGCTGGGCAAAAAAAACCGGAGGGGGGTAGTATCTTCAATATAGGCTGGATATATGTTTTAATGTGGTTTTAATATGTTTTAATATGGTTTTGTTCATGCCTTTTTCGATTGCTTGATAAGGTTTCATCATAACGGAATTGAATTGCAGTAATTAGAATGTAATAGAATGTATATTAATATGTTAAGAAATGAATGAATAAGATTGGCTAACGTTCTATCTGAATCTGCGCCTTTGGATGAGGAAACGTGGCAGTGGAAAATCCATTACCATCTGGTGATGACTAACAGTTGCCATGGAAAGATTCACCATTTTAACGTTAAACCCAGGTAAACCATCCATTTTCCATGGCTGGCTATGTTAAATAGCCAGAGAGTATATATATATATAAATGGCGGTTTTAGTTTGAAAATCATCTATAAAACGGGGGTTTTCCAGCCAGCCACGGAGCTGATTACTGCAAGGTAAACACACAGTAAGATCAACGAACGGCTGCAATTTTTCGATATGGATAGACTGGTCGAGTAAACAGTGTCCAATTTGGACATCCAAGCTCGAGAAATATGGATAGACTGGTCACGGAGCAAACATAGGAGCCCCCTCGACCAAATTTGGTAATCTTTGGTATTCGTTAGTTTCGATCTCGCCGTTGCTCAGGGCACCATAACCATTAGATGATTTCACGGTCAGCGATTGGCGATACTATTGCCATGTTTGATTACTCCACTTGCCATGTTTGTCTGTCACTTAAAACCCCCATGGCAAGTTGCACTAATCTCCACGTTGTTTGATGGATATCATATGGATATCCCTTAAAATTCAAGCGCGCCGATGTCTCTATGTTTGTGGCTTGAAGCCCAATATCCTCTGTTTGTGTGCTGATTACATCCCATTTAAGTGCTGCTTACAGTGACAACGTTTGTGAAATGATGCCTTTTCTGAGAGGCTTCCCCAGTCAATTGAATCCAAGTTTCATCATTTGTTTGCACTGCAATGACAATTTTGGGGTGTACACCATTTTGGACAAACCAACAGGTCACCTATTGGTCAACGATGGTGAAATCCCATCGTTAACCCCGTTTTTTGTTGCTTTCATAACGCCATCACATCCCTTAACATATGACGTTATAGTGCTTAAATCCAAACTGTTTATTGTTAGATCACCATTGGTCTTGGTTGAACGGTTCAATCACACCGTTTCTATTGGTGTATTCCCAAATGTTGACAATTTATATCCGGTTTATCAACTTAGAGTTTGAAATCCAACATAGAGATTTGTGCTAGTTATGTCAATCACATTAAATTATATATATATATATAGTAATTCTATGATATATCATTGATATATCCCACTATTTTCAATGAAGTTTGGATGTTTGGTTGGTTTCATCCAAATGGTCTTGGAAAATTTTGAAAACGCCTCCCGGATGCCAAGACAGCTGGAGCCGCTGACCTTGCACCAGAGAGCCGACAGACTGAAATCCAATCCTTGGCCGACAAATGTGTGGTGATGTTTTTTTCAACATAGTTTATGTTTCTATTCAAATCTCTAGATATCTGTCTATTTACAAATATGTTATATATATATATACTGGTTGGTTGTATACCTACCCTTCTGAAAAATATGAAAGTCAATGAGAAGGATGACATCCCATATATGAAATGGAAAATAAAAGTCATGTTCCAAACCACCAACCAGATATATATGAATGATTCCTATGGGTCCAGCCGTACCTTCGGGAGATGACTGTTGCTGTTTTTCTTTCCCTGGATGGTTTCAATATAAAGGACCTTCCAGTAAGTATTTGGATCCATTTGGATTTGTATGTTATATATAATATATAATATATAATATATTATATATAATATATAATATATATAATATAATATATAATATATATAATATAATATATATAATATATAATATATAATATATATACTATATAATATCTAATATGTATATATAATATAATATATAATATATAATATATATAATATATAATATCTAATATATATAATATAATATATAATATATAATATATAATATATAATATATAATATATAATATATAATATTATATATACAATATTATATAGATATATATATATATAATAAATATATATATATATATATTAATCCATCTATCTTTCTATCCGTAGTGACATATTGACCAACCTGGATACGCACTTGACACATCTGTTATGGTTCTAACTTGAAAAACAACATACATTAAACTGCCTAAGTTCACAATATGTGGCTATACTCATAATCGCACGTAATATATATATATATATACACACACATGCTCACCCGCCCACCAGGGCCTACCTTTTTTCCTGTTTCATTGACTGTTTCATTGCGTGCTATCTGCTATCTGCCAAACAAACATCGAAAAGACAAAAGAAAACTAAAGAAAACAAAACAATAACAAACACAAACACACAAAAAACACAATGCATTGGAGAGCCTTCTCCCCTTCCCCCATCCCAAAATAGGTCTCCCGTGTTTCTTTTTGGTTTTCTTTTCTTGGTACCCCTCCCCTTCCAAAAAAAACAAAACAAGTCATCCAAAACGTTTGTATGTTTATTCTTCCTGGTGTGGGGGAGAGGTGGTGAGATAATACAGTAACTTAAATAGTTTTCAGACCTGGAAAGAAAAATTGCACATCCCCAAGGAGTACTACGCATGTTTAGCATACAAGACTTTTTTAAATAATGACTTGACAAGAATGCCTTGGGGGCAAGATGAATCAGATTTGGTTCCAACTAATCTGGATGATTCTTGATTGATCTTATGGAACCAAACACCCACAGAAATGGCAGTATATAAATCACACAAAAAGGTGGACAAACAAAAATAATTGCTTTTTTAGCTGCAAATACCACCACCAAAAAATCGAGGTAGGCCCTGGTGGGGGGGGGGGTTACCATGTGTATATATATATATATTTGTATGTGTAAATGCACATACATACCCTCTGGTAATTTAACATAGCTATTGAAAATGGCTATTGAACTACTGGATTCACCCATTGAAAATGGTGATTCTCGATAGTTTTTTATATGTTTACCAGAGGGTACAACTTAGTCAACACAGAGCAAGTCTTAGTCATTCCACAACCAGTTGCATATCATATCAGCCTTGGCTAGTTAACCCACAAATCGATGCTGGCAATTGGATTGGCATCCCCGGCCAAGGGAGGATGCAAATAGTGCACAGCTGGGTGAACAACATCAATCCACCAAAAGAAGGTTCAATGGGATATATATATATATATAATAGTGTATCTGTATCACTATACATAATATTATATATATATACAACTGTTATAATAGTTATATGTAGTATATATATATATATATATAAAAGGTATACATGTGTATGCAAAAAAAAGCACAGCTGGTTGGACAACATCAATCCACCAAAAGAAGGTTCAATGGGATAAATATATAATACAATATGTATCTGTATCAATATAGATAATATTATATATACAACTGTTATAATAGTTATATATAGTGTATATATAAGGTATACATGTGTATATATATATAGTGTATACATATATATATATATATGTATAGTGTATACATACATACATATATATATATAGTGCATATATAATATATAATACACGTATATATATATATATTAACTTATATAACTTTGCCAGTAACAATGAAGATGTTCACCAGCAAACAAGCCATGGATAGTCATCGCAGGTGAAGTCATCGCCGTGCTTGGGAAAACCAGAGGAAAACCATAGGGAAATGGAGGTTTGAATGGGAAAACCTTGGGTTTACTATGGTTTAATATGGCTGAAAGTAGGGATTATACTGGGATACGAATATATATATATATATATATCCTCTGGTAATTTGTTGCATAGCTATTGAAAATGGCCCAGTCGAAATAGTTGATTTACCCACCAATAGCATGGTGATTAAATCAACAGCAAACAGTTAGTTTACCAGAGGGTATATACAACCCCCATCATTATCCCATCATTATCCCATATTTATATGGGCGATATACTTGCTCACCATATTTATCACCGAATCTCAGCAATTTGCCTCTGGTAATCATCCACAGGCCGGGTGCCCACCTCTGAGCCTAGCATCATAGGCCACCTTTGAACCCAGAGTTGGCAACAGCATCGGCCCAGCCCACATTCCTTCCATGGCCGATCTATGGCCAGTTGAATCATGATTATCATGTGAAAAATACCCTCTGGTAAATAAACATAGACCCTGGCAGATAGGGGTTGGAAGACTAGTTTCCATTAAACATTGGTGATTTTCAGGGTCTATGTTTATTTACCAGAGGGTATAATTTAGGATGTGTTGAAGCATCATGTTTAACATGATACCATGATCAACCATAGAAATTCTTTGGGTGCCCAATGTCTTCAGAAACCCTTAGGTCTTCAACAAACTGCCCTTCTGTGTTTGGACGACAGCCCTTCAACCAGTAGTTCTTGGGCCATTCACTTGGGCTCTTTGACACTTCCAGGGCAAAACCATATCCATTCTTGCTAAATCCCACATGTGAATACATTTCATGGATTCTTGCTCATCAAGACTTTTGCAAATCTATAAAATCCATTAAAATCCCTCATTTCATTTCGAGGATTTATATATATATATGATTTGTGGAGGATTTCTCTTTCATCCCTCTATCTGGGTAAATTATCATATTTCACTAACCTGAATCTTGCGGCCAGCTATGGGGATGATTCCCCTAACCATGATTCCAGGGGTCGGGAGACCAGTGAGGTCGTTATAATTTACCCAGATATAATCATCATTGACCATTAATAAGCACTATTAATCATCATTAACCAACATTAACCATTAATAACCATTAATATCCCAAATCGCCACTATGACTTTTCTTTCTGCGTCCCCCATCCCAGGGATCCCATCCTGATGGTACATCCATCTCGAAGACTTCATCGCTGTTGGTCAGGATCAAGGCCTAACACCGGAATCACCGGAAGATAGGCGCAGACTTTTCATGTGACATGGGCTGGTAAGTGTATGTACATTGTTATATGTAATATAAATATATACATTGAATATGAACATGATGGTTTTGGATACTGTTAGCTGCTTAGTAGGTATATACTATATATTCTCACAATCATTGCGACATCTTAGTACGTATGAGTAGCAACTACTCATTCCAAACTTTTCCCAACGAACGGCCGCTCATCTGTAGGTGATTTTCCATGGCCAGATTGATGATTGAATGGATAGATGTTCTATGTTCATTTCAATGTTCACCCAAAACAAAACTGGAATACTGGAATATACCATCTGGTCGGCTGCCATGTTCTGAAAGGTTTTTATCATCTAGAGAAATGGGCCATTTTCCATAACTATGTTGTGTACATTACTGGAAAATCATGAAACAGAATTGGATTTTGTTGTATATATATATATAAAGTAATCGCCAACAAACAATTTTGCAACAATGCCTTAAAACAAATCAACCGGTGTTTCCCATGTCAAACTTACCGATCCAAGGTTTCCCTTTATACTGATGGGTTGACAAGGATTCCCATTGTGGATAATCATAATCCCCATAAACAGTGGAAAAAAAAGGTACAGCAGATCCAAATAGATCCAATAGTATAATCCCTTAACATACCAAATGAAGCAGGCATATTGATGGATGTACCATCTGGTTATGACTAACATAGCCATGGAAAGATCCACCATTTTTAAGTTCGGTAAACCATCTATTTCTATGGGCCATTTCCCATGGCTATAGTCATGATCCCCATTAATTGGAACCCTGGAATTTTGGATACCCAATTACTCGGTGGAATAGTACCCCGAAGAAACTGCAATTGCAAGACCACCATTATGGCGGATGGTTTAATCACCATTGTTCATTAGGATGTCCATATGATCCAAAATAAAACAATTGAGACATACAATCAACTCCAAATAATATCAATCAATGGTTTTCATTGCAAATCTATTTTATCATACTATTAATCACTGTTAATCACGGATATTATCTGGTTGGTGGTATACCTACCCCTCTGAAAAATATGAGTTCGTCAGTTAGGATGATTATATATTCCCAACTGAATAGAAAGAAAAATAAAATTCCATGGTTCCAGTCACCAGCAACCAGTATATCTATATCTGTCAATGGATTTAAATGGTATATAATCAACCATAAATGGCATATAATACCATCTGGTTATGACTAACATAGCCATGGAAAATCTGGAAAATCACCATTTTTAATAGGTAACCAAATATCAACACATGTTTTTTTCCTGGGAAAACCACCCATGGTCAACCCCCCCAAATCCCAAATCTGTACCGTTCAGTCTCCAAAAATTCCATCGCCATGCCATGTTGGATGGGTCCGGTCCCAATTTTGGATGGTGAAAAATCTCTATTACTGCTGGTGAAAAATCACCATTTGCGTTGTGAAAAAAGTGGCATTTAAAAATTTGCTAGTCAAATCCTTTTTTTTGCTTAAATCAGAACCATGTCAAGTGACATCGCATTTTTTCCATGGTTCACTCCTCATTTTGCATGGTTAAAACCGTTGTAAAACGACCGTTGTTTTTCACCCCCATCAGATCATCTCCCATCCTTTCGCCATGGCGCACGGCCCAAGCGGATGGCCAACGCAGTGATTTCTTCGGTGCGGTCCCTGAAAAATTCATGTCGCAATTGGCAATGGCTCAATATATATATATATATATATATATATCATTTTATAATATAAATACCATAAATAATATATATAACATGATATAATGATATATTATGGATATGTATAATAATCTATAACATTTATAATTTATATCTATACATGGATATTAATATATATATATACACCCATAAAACTATACATTATCTAATTGTGATTATATATATATTATTATACATACAATCTATATACAACATTTTAAAAAATAAAGATAGAAATAAATAGATATATACGCGCCCTTCAAATTAGGATTGACATGGAATGCATGCGTGGAAACATGTATATATATATATATACAATTGTAAGCACGTGTTCCTATCTTTAAGTTGGCCATACTGCAATATCAGTCAATATTGCTGGGCGAGGTTTTAATGATTCTCCAATCAGCAACGGAAAATTATGGTAGCATACGAGAGCCAATTACCATAGAAGGTACCTACCATATGTCAGGCCTAAAAAAGGGAATGTTCTACCGGTGCATCACACAAGCCTTGCTTTACATTACAATCCCATCCATCATAATCTCACCATTTCATCTAATTTTATCCCATGAAATCACACCTATGTAATCCCGAACTATAATCCTATCAAATTATAACTCCACAAACCAGTACATTATAAATTATAATCCCATGTAACATGGTCAAATCATCATGTGCAGAATTTGTCCATTATAATAATCCCACAAAGACCTATGGTATCACCGTCTATATTCATGATATTCATGATATTCGAATGTTTCCCTGGCTATATCCCTATGTTTCTTATAGATACACACACCTCATCATATGCTTTTACTATATGTATTACTATTATGAATAAAACCATATGTATATATATATATATATAACCATATAATTCCTGGTTCATATTAACTTCATCATAATATATGACTATTTTTTCCTGGTTGTATCCCTGGTTGCTTTACCCCACCGGCCCCCCTCTCTTTCGCGAAAGCCAGCGGCTTATTCTGCGGCAACGTCAGGGCTCCGAAGATGCGCCAGCCGGTGGGGTCGAAGACAATGCCCAGCAGCTGGTTGTTGCCTTAAGGAGCTGGTTTATGGTGGATCTATGCAAATCGAGCATGAAGGGATTGAATGATTTGAATGGGAATGTGCCCGATTTTCTTTTCTTAATGGTATATATATATATCATCAACTATCTATACTTGGGAAGATGGAAAGCATGTGGGGGGGTTCCTGAAATGGGGGTACCCCTATTTTAGGAAACCCCCATTTCATGGTTTCATGAGGTTGAACGGAGGCTGATCAAACACACACTTTTGGGGAATGGTGTCTTTACTGGAGATTAACGGGGATTGTTTCATGGTGCAATATCCATGGCGTTAAATGGGGCATTGTGATGATTTAATGGTGAGCATTATGATACAAAATCAACAACAAACAATCATCAGTACTGCGGATATACATATATACGTATAATAAATGGTAGAACATGGGGTTTAACGAAACAAAACTAGGGATATAGTCGAATGGGACATTTACAATGGGGATCAACGGTGATAAAATGGTGAAATAACAAATAATAATAATATAATATAAATAATGATACAACGATGAAATGACCCCCAATCGTAGCGATAATGGGGATTCGTCGACCAACAATCACCCAACCAGAAATTATAGCATCGTGTATGATGGTGTTTAACTAGCTTGGATTTATGGTGCTTCACAGGGATTAAAAATCATTTATGACGGGGATATAATGGGCTTTGACTAGTCATATATATAATGGGATATACAGTAAGGGGGATTTCCATTACATATCACTCCAATTTCATAAGGATCATTGGAGTATAACATCAGACAACAACTATTGTACTATAGTTGGAGTATACATACTGTACATAACCCAAATGGGGATATGGCTACGAATCGTTGCTTTGGTGGCAAACAACATCTTGTCACAGTTTTGCCTGTCCGCATCCAATTTGCTTCAAACAATCATGATTTCTTTGTTTGCATCGGGGGTTTGGAATCCTGGGAGAGCTGTAGGGTCATCATTCCCTGGATCTTGAGCTGTTGTTGTTGTTGTTGTTGTTGTTGTTGTTGTTGTGATCGTCGTCGTCATTGTTGCTTTTTTCCAATGCCACCAACCCTAAACACCAGCTCACCATTCCTTTGAATGATGAGCCCAACTAAATGTCAGTGGAAATCCCAAGTTTTGGTTAACCCCTAAGGTTTACCTGGTGATTTTCTATGATTTATATATTTCTTTATTGGTTACATTTCCAGCATTTTTTGTCAATGATTGCTTGCCGCCATGCAATCTGCGAGAGGTGGCCCTCAATGAAATGATTCTGTTTGATGTACCAAGTGGGGTCTCTTATTGGCTATACATGGGTATACCATATACATCCATATACCTCTATTGGCATATGGAATGATGATGGAAATTGTCACAATATGTCACAATATGTCACAAAATATGTCACTGCTTCGCTGCTGAGATGGTTCATTGCTGGGTTTACCCCATTACCATTGATCTAGAAAATTCGATAAAAGACACTTCTAGAAAATCATTTCCAAGGAAAATGTCTATATTGGATACTGTGATGTCCCTCATAGATGACATTTAGATAATCCTAGACCATTGATCTACTGATACAGTGAGTGCTCGTCCAAGTGATCGGGAGTTCTCAACCAAGTTCTGACGTATATCTTGCCACTCTGGGTTGCGAAACCAGCGCCATGAACCCCCCAACAAAGTCAGGTACGTCGGTAAGTCTGAGATTTTGGCGGTTGCAAAAATATGGGATATCCATGGATATACATAGATAATTTTGACTTTCTGAACACTTCCTAACCTGGTTGTAGAATTATGTACATGTCCAGTTTTAGATATGATTCACCTGTTGAATGCTACGAGACATTGCCCCATTGGGTGACACCAAGGGACGGATGGCCAAGGCATCGATGTGGTCATCGGTCTGCAAAGGTCATCGGAATCCAGGTCAAAGGGATACCGGATTAATCCATGGTTGGTCGATGTGGCAAATTCCCATGGTTAATAGTGGTTCATGGTGGTTGATGGTGGTCAATGGTGGTGGTTAATGGTGGTTAATGGTGTTTAATGGATGTTAATGGATGTTAATGGTGGTTAATGGATGTTAATGGTGGTTAATGATTGATTAACTATGGCTGCTTGGTGGTATACCTACGAACCCCTCTGAAAAATGATGGAGTCAATGGGAAGGATGACATCCCATGAGTATCCCTTTGAAACCACCAACCAGATATGGTTTCATAGGGATACTCATGGGATAAGTCTCAAATCAATGAATTCCTAGACCATTTCCCAGGCATGGAGGGGGGTCGTTTGCAGTCACCACCACTTGAGGCAAGAAGATACAGGTTGAACAGGTAGAATGTAGATGCACACAACTGGTTGGTGGTATACCTACCCCTCTGAAAAATATGAAAGTCCGAACTGTTCTCTGGCATCTATTTCCGACACCGGGACTGCTCTTGCCACTGTAGTGGCACCTGCCGTGACACTGCCAAGAGTGGCAGCTGCTCCTTCAGGTTCTGAATGGTCTGCCTCATCTGGTCGCAGCCCCAATTCGTTGGGTGTGGACAGAGCGGGGCAAACTCTGATCTTCAACTCATCCTTCAGCCCCACCATTTGTGCATCAGCATACGATGCTGCCACGGAATCGTCATTTACTGAAAGTTTGGTGATCAAGTCTGCCATCCTTTCATCGATGCATCTTGCAACTCTTTCATCCACAGTGGGCACAGCCGGGTCTGCAGAACTGTGCGAATCGCCTCCGCCATGGCTAAATGTACGGCCTGTGACTGAATGCTATATATATATATATATCATCAGATCCTCATTATTGCTGGTTAAATGGCCATAGTATATATATAATTATATATATATAACATCCACAAGTCTTTGAACAATACATTCGCATTCCCCATATCACCACAATGTACTCACTTGTCGATACCTTGCAAAGTAACAAACCTTTAGCTGGCTTTTGGGGTGCATCCAAGTCAGGATTTTGCAAATTACTCATACATGACTGGCGTTATTTTTAGTGTTAATCCTATGTGTAAGGGGTGAATCGCAATGTATACAGTTATTGCCTACTTCAAAATTGGCAGATTCCACGTATTCCCAGTCTGGAAGCAAAGGATAACTGTGGATGATGAAAGGTTCATAAACGGATTACTCAAAGGGTGAAATATATCCCCTGGTTTGAAGAATCTTTCCTGTTTGGCACTTGTCCAAAAATAGGTGTCCATAAAAAACAAGTGAAACGTCAACACAAGAAGCAATATCCAGTGAAATCGATGTAAATTGTTGGATTTCCCAAAAAAAGCCCCAAAAAAAATATCCAGCGTTAATGGGGTACCCCCATTTTAGGAAATCCCTAAATCATGTTTTTAGAAATCAATAAATCCAGCTTTTGACAATTTGACAAATTCCATTATATGTATATATATATATGTGTATATATATATATATATGTATATATATATATGTATACATATATATATATACATATATATATACATACATACATTACATACATACATATATATATACATACATATTTATATATATATATATAAATATACATATACATATATATATATACATACATATATATATACATACATATATATATAACCTGTAATTCATAGAAATCCATGAGCCAACCTCATAGAAACCCTTTGGTTTTCACCACCAAATCCCCGTTGGTTGTACCGACCGTCGCACCTCCAAAGGGGTCCGATCCACCGCAATGTCCGTGAGCATCGTGAAGTTGGAGACCCACTGCTGTCGCACTACCTGCAACGCAACGTGAACGGGTCGAAAAAACGGCTGTGAACGGCTCGAAAAACATGGGGAATTTTTGGTAAGTGATTAGATCATCTAAAAGAAATCTCTAGATCATCCAAAAAAGAATCTCTAGATCAGATCATCTGTTTGAGTATAGTAACACAAAATGGACGGGAATCATTAGATCATCTTTAAAAAAAAAGATGAACGTAGTAAGTTATTAAACGGTTCATAAGTGGGGTTTTAGCCATAAAACATTGGGACATAGTAAAATCACAAAAACATAGAGAATAGTAGTCAGTGATATTTTACTGTTAAGGAGGGTGATTATTATGATAAGTGATATAGACTTGTAAAAAGTGATAAGTGGGAATCATACCAAAATGGTGATCAGTGATGATTGTGACTTTTTTTTCCTATCCTCTGTGGTAAAATTCACATAAATTAAACATACTTAATCTATTTCAGCAATTGGCTGGTCTAGTTTTCTTTTTGGGGCTTGCTCCGTTTCTCTCGTATACTGTGGCCATTTCACAGCGTCTTGACAGTTGGTTCAACCTGCTAGAACTGGCCCCAGAAACTTTCAGGCTGAGTGTCCTGAGTCCGCCTTTAACCAACAAATGGTTTAGGCTGCATTATGAATTATGATGACAAGAATTGTGGTTTAACTAGCAGCAACAAGACACCAACCATCATATGCTGGGCCTTTAACTGGCAAACATATGCAAACATTGTAGTCTCACCCACAAAAATTGGGCCAAACCATGTCAAACCAAAACTAATGACATATATGATGGGACTGCCAGACACGCCTGAAAACCTGCAACGACTTGACCAAAACGAAACTCTTCGACATGTGTTTCAACAATTTTCAACATACTTACAACAACTAAAATAACCCAAGTTGAATAGGATGCAGAATATACCAGCAGTGAAAAACGTTACAACAGCATACAACAGCTAGGATTGAGAGTAAAAACAACGAAGTATTGACACCAACAGATTCCACGCGCACATCTTTTTGTCCATTGCGCAAAGCGCCACAGATTTTTCCATTGGAAATGGTACAGTTCATCCCCCCAATGGTACAGATTTTTGACACCGCCGTGCCGGGTGTGCCTTGCCATTTTCGATCCAGGTAGATTGAGTACCTTTCCTCAGCACCAGCTGATGGGCAAAAGTTAGTATCTTCCCAAGCTTCGAGGTTTTGACCCAGGTAGTGAATTGGTCCCTATCTGTGCCAAAATGCCCAATCGTTTTGAGGATAGCTGGCACCTGAACCCTGCTCCCCCATGAAGGGTTCTGGAAAATCTTTGGAGCGTTGGTTCCACCATCTGAATCAGTGCAACTGCTTCATCTTACTGAATGTGATGCAGTGCCATGTCATGTGCTGTGCTTTAATGCAATGCAATGTCACGCAACGCAATTTAAGTTGGTGTATGCATGTGTAATACCAAATCAGATTTACAGTATGTATCAATGGTTTACCATTCTTTATCCACAGTTACAATCATTGGCATGAGCCCCCACCAAATCGTCAACATAACTAGCATCAACCAGTAATTTATCAACTATATCACCATTGTATCACCATGAGATCCCAATGAGAAGGACCACAATTCACAACTATATATGGTGATTCCCCATATCAATATGAATTGGTGATGTTTTTTTACCACTATCATTAATCACTATACCACTATTAATCACCACTAACATCAGTGAATATTGATCATTAATTAACCACTATTGATGATTACTGTATTCATGGTGTCCCCATGAATCATCAGAATTAATTCACCACTATATATATATATATATATACATAATTACATATATATATCACTATATTAATATTCAAACCACTATTGTTTAAATATATCACCATATGAATCACTATATGGAAGTTTCCTGAAATGGTGGTACCCCTAAATCATCCATTTTATTTTCGGATTTTCCATTATAAACCAATCATTTTGTGGATCCCCCATTTATGGAAACCCTATATGAATCAACGTGAAACCATTAAACCACTATATAGTCACCATTGAACCACTATTTATTGAAACATCAGATTTTTACTAATCACTATATTACATATATATATATATACATTAATCACTATATGAATCACTATTAAACCACCACTATGAATCACCAATAACCACCGTTATTAACCATGGTCATTAACCATATCCCAATATGAATCACTATATTAATCCATATTAATCATTAAATTATAGTAATGACATATAATATATATATAATATTATCATATCACTATATCATTCATGGTTTAATCATGGTAAAGCACTCACTATATATGAATCACCATTAAACGAACTGTTATTCCGTTATTCATGGTTTAATCATGCTTTATAGCACTATATATTAACCCACCATTAAACCACCAGTGTTTAATTATATCAACCATATGAATCACTATTAATCACTGTTGCCATTACATGCTATAGTTCACTATTATTCACTATTAGTCACTATGAATTAAACCACATTGATTAATCATTTGGTTTGATAGTGAACTATGAATTGAACCGCATTTATTCACTGTTAATTACTATTATTAATAGTGATTCACTATTAACCATATTGCTATTACTAAATCATCGTGCTATTATGAAATCACAATTATTACATCACTATTATTCATTATTACATCACTATTGATCCACTATTATTAACCATATTGCTATTATTCAATTAGTAATCCCATGAATAATCACTATTAATCACTATGAATCACCATTAAACCACCATTAAACCACCATCCAACCCATCAACCATGGCCGCTGAGCGTCTCGCAGCAGGCGATCACCTCGCCGCCCTGCCCGAAGTCCACCGCCAGCACTGGGCCATCGCCACAGGCCTCGAAGTGGAGAAACAACGAGCCGTCCTCGGCCATGGCGGCGCCACGGCCACGAAAGGCTGGGGATTTTGTTCACCAATTTTCCATGGCACAATGGATGAAGACCTATGAAAAAGCGATGAAAAGCCCATGAAAAACCAGTGAACACTTGGAAATGATGGCAAAATGGAAGAAAACCTATGAAAAGCCGCTGAAAGGCCTATGAAAAAGAATGGAAAACCACGGAAAATGGTGAGTTAGTTGGAGATCCAACATGGAATGGATGAAGATGATGACTTGGACATTTACTGGGGATTGTTGATGGGATATAGAAAATCAACAGAAATCAACTATAGACTATAGATCTATACTTTCCTGAAACCACCAAATCCCAAAAAGTGCAAACTAGCCGCTACTTTGCATTTTTTGCATCTAAACCACCAAACCCCAAACACAACAAACTAGCTGCTGGTTTGTAATTTCCGTGGGTCTTTGCTTGGCTTGTCCTCCTCAGTGTGGGCTTTTGCTGACTGCAAATCTTTCTGCTGATAGTTAACGCTCAACCTAAACCCACTACTAAATTAAGGAAGCAATAAGAAACTGAGGGCCCCCCACCTTATCTATCCCTTTCGTTTTTGACAATTAAATTCACAATTCGAGGGATGGACTGCGACCTCCGAGGGGCCGAATTTAGGACCTGCACAGTGTAGCCATCCGTCACCGTGAAGTGGGTTCCTGCCATCGACGCCGGCGTTGGAGGGGGGGATCTGGATACCCCAAATCATCCGAAAATTGGACCATGACTTAGTACTTGAAACTCATGGTGAATGGTGACTTGGGGATCGCCATTTTTTTTTTAAACCCCCGTTTTGATGCTGAAATCTACATTGTTCATGGTAAAAACTCTGAAAACAATCTGATGTTTCACGGTGAGATCATCCCGATGATCTAAGTCATGGGGTACCCCTCTAAGTCACTTGGTATTCAGAAGGGTCCGTCTGAAATGTTGAAACCAAAATACAACATGTTTTTGGAATAATTTTAAATTAAATTTGATCTTGAACATTTAGGTATCCCAAATTTCAACAAATTGCCAATGTTGGATGATTTCGGTGGGGGCCCATAAAAAAGGGACACCTTCCATCTGTCTTCCCAGGCGAGACAAAAAAATCCCAGTAAGATGCAGTTCCAGTTGCAAGTGGATAAACAATATTATAGGGGCCCCGTATAGGGTGTATAACCATGGTTATACGCGTTGACCTCAACTGCACCCAATTATAGTATAGATACTGTAGTTGATTTTCTATATCCATACATATATAAACATATATATATATATAATACGTATAATAATTATTCCAATAACAAAAACAACCCAAAAACAAAATATACGAGTACATTATACATATCCAACTAAATCATCATCTATTTTCCATGGTTAAATCATGTTAAATCCACCCAGTAAACGGATATTTAAATAGCTATGTTTATATCCCAAGTATCGCAATCCAAAAATCCTCATATCCACCAGGTCGAACAGCTGGTCCTTGCAGCTCGCACCCGAAACTCTTGACCATTCGCCACCTGAGAGCGGCTCGTCTGGTCACGTCTGTGTATATATAGTATTTATATATATATATTATATATATATATATACATTGCATATGACATATGAATACATATGACATATGATGTAAGATAGAATATTATAAAATAATATGATGTGACACATGGATATAATCACAGTATTATATATAGTGTCTGGGGAACTCATAATATTTCACTTGAAAAGTTCGGCTCTTTGGGACTTTGGGGATGATTCCCCAAAAAACAAAAACACCTTCCAGCGAGGTCACCACGGAAGGTAGGTCTGTGATGTTTGTCGTATGTCGTGTTAAATAAATGTCATGCAATGCAATGAAGAACAATGTAAAAAGTAATGTAGTGGTGTAATGGAATGGAATGTAATATACAAAGTAGTAGTATGGATGTGTGGACGTGTCTATAGATAGATGTAAATAGGAGATATCCAAACAAATGTAATCTAGGGGTAAAACTGATGATAAACCATCAACATTTAGGGTACCACCTATTTTATCTATGGTTTTTGAAAGATCAAATATATGATGCATACACATACATATTATATGTGTGTATTCTATATAAAATCATGGTTACATTCTGCACTGCAGTACCCTAAGCCATCCATTTTTTGTTCCAAACCACCAACCAAATCCCAACTATTTTGTGAAATCTCATTCGTGCTGGATAAATCATATCCCTATGTTTGTTGGTGAACGTATATTTCAGAATCCGCTTTCGTTAGTAATCCCATGAATAATCACTATTTCTCACTATAATCACTATGAATCACCATGAAATCACCATGAGTCAGCATGAAGTTACCATCAAATCACCATGAAATCACCACGGAATCCCACCACTAGGGCTCGCCACGGCTGTGGCATCTGCCAGTCCACCCGTTCTCCCGTTAAGGTGATCCTGGCACATCGAAAGGTGATTTACAGGTGATTTACTGTAATGGTGACTTAATATGATTTAAATTATGACTTAATGGGATTTTGTTCAATAGTATGTGATTTAATTGTGACTTAATGGTGATTTCTTGGGATTAATAGTGATAACGGATTCAACAATAGGATTCATGGGGAGTATTACGGTAACGATGGAATCATGGTTAAATGGGAATAAAGGAAAAACAATCCCCAACTTCAATGCTCAAACCTCATACTTAGGGATCAAATCCCGAAAAAATCATCAATCGAGCACTATTGTCCTTTTAGGGAAAAATATGAAAACATGTTGCGGAGCCTGTATGATATACGTTTTCTCATCCACCTGTTGGTTGATTTTCATGACAAGAAACATATTTTTTTTTGATCAACCAAGCAGTGGGAAAAGAGCAGCCATGTCACCCACAACAAAAGGTGGTTTCTCTTGGAAAAATGGTGTTTCTTGAGTTCACCCACAGAAATGGTGATTTCTCTTCAACAATTTTCATCTATAAACATTACTCTATATTTCATCTATAAACATTACTCTATATACTTTAAATGAGTGAATATTGAGACTTCACCAACAAGAAATGGGACTTGTTTTTAACTATCATATTTATTGCAATTCATGAGACAACAAACAGGATTGGATCAACCAACATTGGGATTCAAACCAACCAACCAAGTAAAGTCATGCAACACAACAACAACAACAACAACAACAACACCAACAGCAACAGCAACAGCAACAGCAGCAGCAACAGCAACAGCACCAGCACCAGCAGCAGCAGCAGCAGCAGCAACAGCAACAGCAACAGCAATAGCAACAGCAAAAGCAACAGCAACAACAATGGCAACGGCAACGGCAATAGCAACAGCAACAACAACAACAACAACAATGGCAACGGCAACGGCAACGGCAAGGACAAGGACACCGACAACAACAACAACAACAACAACAACAAACAACAACAACAACAACGACAACAGAAAACACACAACACTCAACACTCAACACACAACAAACAACAAACATCACACACAACAAACAAGAAACAAGAAACAATAAACAACAACAACCAACAACAACAACAACAACAACAACAACAACAACAACAACAACAACCAACAACAACAACAACAGCAACAGCAACAGCAACAACAGCAACAACAGCAACAACAGCAACAACAGCAACAACAGCAACAAACAACAAACATCAAACAACAAAAAACAAACAGCAAAATATACAAACACCAAACAACAAACAACAAAAAACAAACAACAAACAACACACAGCAAACGCCACACACACACACCCAACAAACAACAAACAACACACACAACAAACAAGAAACAACACACACAACAAGCAAGAAAACAGAAACAAGAAACAAGAACAACAAAACAACAACAACAACAACCACCACCAACAACAACAACAACAAAACAAACAAACAAACAAACAAACAAACAAACAACAAACAACAAACAGCAAAATACAAACACCAAACAACAAACAACAAAAAACAAACAACGCACAACAAACAACACACACACACCCAACAAACAACAAACAACGCACACAACGCACACAACGCACACAACGAACAAGAAACAACACACAACAAAAAACAAGAAACAAGAAACAATAAACAACGACAACAACAACAACAACTACTACTACTACAACTACAAATACAAATACAAATCAACTTACAGTAACAGTTGCTTTTCAAGCCATTGGCAACCAGTCCTGCTCCTTTATCAATTGTGATCAAATGTCCTATTGCTCCTAAGGCATCAGATTTCCCTCCCCGCGGACTTGTTGAAGACGTTGATGCTGAACCAAAATGACCATATCAAGGCCTCGAGTCAAAACACTCGAAACGCTTAAAGCTGGCGAGTTGGGTCCGAGAAATGTTTGGAAACAAGAACATGTGAAGGGAAACTCGTAAATTACTCCTCTTATGTTCCATTAAAGTTGGTATTTGCTTCATATATGGCCCATGGACAAACCCAGTTGGCAGAAGAGAAGCTACAAGCTGCGAGAGCCTCAGCGATGTTTCTTGGTTTATAACCCCCATTATTATACCATGTACATATATATATATGATATGGATTGATATGGATATATAATGATATATAGCTATCTTTACCATACACATCCATAAAACCCATAGAATTCACCGAGTTATTTTACCAGACTCGGCCTCACCTTCGAGTTTTTCACCTCGTCCCTTTAAAACTAGATTGGGATTTGCGGGACCATGATCTGCCATATGATATACCCTCTGGTTATGTCAAAATAGCTATTGAAAATGACCATAGAAATAGTGGATTTTCCCATTAAAAATGGTGATTTTCAATAGCTATGTTAAATATTGTTAAATTACTAGAGGGTATCATTACCCATGACGGATCCATGGTGCTGCTATATATGGTGTGCCATGGATCCCATCAATATAGCCCCTTGATGTTAGCATTAATATACCAGCACCATGGATCCGTCATGGGTAAAAAATCACACATATGATCAGCGATAATGTACTTAAATAACTTCTGCTGATTCCGTGATTCGCAACGGTGTGTTGAACCGCCCCGTCTTGGGAGCCAAGGCCAGAATCCAGAACAGCGTCACCAAGGCCTTGGGAGCGTCGTGAACTCGTGGCCGTGCCATGTTTGGCGAGAAAATTCGAAGAACATCTATGGCCAAATATGGCCAAATGGCATCAAATAGAAATATTAGAATTTTCTAGATTGGTTATTTGGCCATTTTAGAGTCTAACTTTTTTGACAATTCTAGAAAAAGAATTGTTAGATTTTTCTAGATTGGTTATGAATGCCATGGTCTTGAAGTACTTAATTATCCCCAATAAATATCATTTCTAATCAGACAAAGCCATGTCCTCGTTCCAAAAAAGGCGGCGCCGTCATCCGGGGCATGGGCCATGGCGACCTTGAAGAGATAGTCCGCGGAGGGTCGGAAGTGGGCGGATTTCTCCTGGAGCGGACGTCGCTTTCCGAAAGTCGCGGACTATCGCTGTGACGTTTGCATAGCTATATGGAAAATGCTATGGAAAATATGATCCATTTTTGGCCATATTTATTGTTTGCTGAACCCAATTTTTGACTATTTTCAAGTGGTGATGTTCCATAGCTATGTTAATTTCCAAGAAGATATCAGTATGTAAAATAAGATCATCAGTTTCGTTTTTCCGGATGATATATGCTATAAAAAATGTTAGTGTTGTATTTCCAAACTAGAGGATAAAATGATCCAGAACCTACTGATTCTTACTGCATATGTATATATATATAGGATGCATTAGGATGCTAACCTAGTGGTTATGGTGTTTCCATTGACGTGTTCCCTAGTGGATTTTCATAATCAAGTCGCCCGTAGCCGAAACATGTTTTAGGGCATCGTAGGCGACCTGATTCAATGGTTTGTGCAATGAGGCCCCATTTGGACTTGAATTAAAACATCAAAACTACTCCGCTCTGGAACTGGAGCTCTTCGTTTTCTTGGGAAAAGTGATATACTCTCTGGTAATTTGTTACATAGCTATTGAAAATGACCATTTATAGTGGATTTTCCCATTGATCATGGTGATTTTCCATAGCTATTTTGACATAACCAGAGGGTACCCCTAAATTCGACGGTCTAGAATTTGACGCTTCCAGTTTTTTTTTGGTTTTCGGTGTTCCGAAGATCCCAGAAAATGTGACGTCCACGACCCCCAGCGCTCATAGGTGGTCTCGAATTGGAACAGGAAGCTGCGCACACCAGCCACTGGTTCCCCTGGCGACGCGCTGGTAATTGGCATGGGATACTGGCTGGTGGTATTACCCTCTGGTAATTTGTTACATAGCTATTGAAAATTGCCATTCATCGTGATTTTCCCAGTAAAAATTGTGATTTCCCATAATTATGCTAGTTTATCAGAGGGTAACGGGATATGTAACCAACCATATTAGCTACTTAAGGTGTGTGAAATGCGGGTAGGTCGCCATGGGGGGAAGTTGCGTGCCCTAAGCCAAAGCCATGGAGCAAAGACACAAATCACTGGAGAATCCTAGATGGGATCAAGTATCCCAAGTCTTGTCCCAATTCTAACAGCATGTGTGGATCAATACCATTGAACTCGGTATCCTTCCGTTCACAACAAACTACCCTCCGGTAAGTCATCTTATTTCCAAGAATGGTATCGAAAGTTTTGACATCTTCATGTCAACGTATTTGGGTCACTGATTGAGATGATAGGAGTTGGTTGCATAGAGGGAAATTGCCCTGCCATTTGTTCCATGCCAACTGTTCCATACCACCCTGTTGGTTGATTGAACAACAAAAGCTGAATTGGGTGCACGTCCTTTTATCCAACAAAAAACACAAAACAAATACAATCCTTTATCTAGTTGTGTTTTTTTCTTCCCCATGCATAATATCTGCTCGTTCCGCCGACATAACCCGCAACCATAACCCGATTGGTTGATCAAATTCGCAGCCTTTGTTGGTCAGCTCCACAAGAGATACGTGATGATTTCATATCTGGTTTGTGGTATACCAACCCCTCTGAAAAATATGAAAGTCCAGCTGGGAATTATTATTCCCAATATATGGAAAAACAAAGTTCATGTTCCAAACCACCAACCAGATATCCATTCTCTTGAATTGAAATTTCTTACTCCAAGTTTTGTGAGCTCATGAAACAAGAGACTGTGATAAAAATGAGTTCAATTTATCATGGTTATAAATGGTTATAGATTTTTACCAATCACAATGAAAAATGATGTCCAAAAGAAACATAGTTGGAACATCCTGAAACATGCTTTGTTAAAACAGGCTAACACCATTGTCTTGTGATGTTCCAACGTTCCCCAATATTCTGACTGAAGTGAGAGCAACATCTGGTCCTTGAACTTTCGTCATGATTATATTCCATTGGCCCATTGGTTTCATGTTTCATGTTTCCCAAAAACATATTGGTAAACCTACCCTCTGGCAATTTACGATAACTATTGAAAATGGTCATTTATAGTTGATTTATCTATTAAAATTTGTGATTGTACATAGTTTTTGTATGTTTACCAGAGGGTAACCAACATGTTTTTCACAGAAAATGCCCTTCCACCTTGCCTCCATATGAAGCCAAGTTCACCATGTCGTCCACCTTGGTGATTTTCAAGGTGGTTTTTCAAGAAAAAAAACGTAAGGATTTCATGGTTTAATAGTGAATTAATAGTTTTATTATGTTATATTCCTATGGGCATTCCTCAAGCAACAATCACCAAAAGCATATTATAGTCAAATTATAGTCGTGTGTTTTGGAAGCAGCATTTCCTATTAAACAATGTGAATCAAAAGGATCAGCAAGAAACCAACAAAAACAACAACAACAACAGCAACAGCAACAGCAACAGCAGCAACAGCAACAACAAAAACAAATCAACAAACAAACAAACAAACAAACAAACAAACAAACAAACAAACAAACAAACAAACACACAAACACACAAACACACAAACACACAAACACACAAACCAAACAAACAAACAAACAAACAAAACAAAACAAAACAAAACACAGACAAACAAAACAAAACAAAACAAGCAAACAAGCAAACAGCAACAGGAACAGCAACAGCAACAACAACAACAACACCAACAGCAGCAGCAGCAACAGCAGTAGCAGCAGTAGCACGGGCAGAGTCTGCCCTGGTGGTTGTGGGAATTCCGGGAACGAATGACTTGCTTTGAAGTGAACAGGTCCACTTGTCGTGCAAAGATATAAATAGAGGATGCCCCAAACGAGGTTCAATCGAGGTTCAAAGATGACCAAAGATGAGCAAAGATGACCAAAGAGACACAGTCGGAAAGAGACAGGAGGAAAAAACAACAGCAGCCGCACCCTAGCAGTGGTTTAGACTTCGCAGCAGCCAGAGAGAGAGAGAGAGAGAGAGACACAAAGGTCGACAACATGCTGCAGTACAAACAAGAACATAAGTATAAGAATGATCTATATTACGAAAACCAGCAAAAGCATCCTTTGCTTGAACCTATCTATATATATATATATAATGTATGTATATATAATATATAGATTAATGTGTATATATATATATTATCATTATATTACTGTATACATGAATTGATGCGACACGTCCATTTTTTCCCATAGGTGCTGAGACATTTGAGGATTATAGATGCAACTATATAAATATATTCATGTCTTTACATTACTTCAAAACTCAGTGCATGGGACACCCGTTTCGCAACGACAAAACAAACAATTTTCATCAGATCCGAAAAAAAGAAACCCATTGATTTTTTGACCCAGATATTTGATCCCCGCAAAATGTTGGGTATCCATTTTCACATTGAAAAGTAGAGTCCCCAGAAAATAACATATCCATTTTCAATAGGATAAATACTGGGAAAATAATGATCAATATTGAAACTATTGAGAACATATTGGGAAAAGCCACCCATGTTCCAATGTTTTGTCATCCACATCGCCAAAGGACTGTCCATTTCACCGCATGCGTGTAGAGAATGTCCGCCACCTGGCCGCTGACAGGCTGGGGATCCCACTGCGTGAGATGGAAAGAGATGATTATGACAAATGATTATTGTAGATGTACATACATACTCCATTTTTTTTGGACGTATCATGGATTCACTCAATGTATCTTCGGCAATTGTCTTCATTGACCTGGCCAATGCTTTCCATTGCTTAATCCGTGAATTGGTTTCAGGAATTGTTGTGCCAAATGATGTTGAAGCTGTCCTGGAACGTTTGCTCCATGAAGGACTTCCAGTCCGGGACATTATTGAGCTCTTGCAATTGCCCAGCCTGCTAGAGCGTCTAGGTGCACCGCCTTTCATCACACAGTTGATCCAAGATTTTCACACGGGAACCTGGATGTATGTCCCTGGCGCATACCAACCCATTGTGACCAGGAAAGGCACAAGACCAGGATCGCCGCTTGCGGACTGCATCTTTCATATCCTGATGGCTGATATAGCCACAGAGTTGAATGATGTAGTTGCCAGTAACCATGATCTGCAAGACATTTTGCACAGAGCTGACTTACATGCGGAAAGTGTCATTTGGGCGGATGATGTAGCTATTCCGGTTGCCACAGTTAGTGCAGCAGATCTCCCAGGTGCCATTGAAGATACGCTGCTGGCCGTGCATAAGATTTTTGCAACTCGAGGGTTTGTCCTGAATTTCCAAAAAGGCAAGACTAGCGTAGTTGCGACATTTCGTGGCCCAGGAGCTCCATTGATGAGAGCCAAATTTCAATTGACATCTCAGCCTGGCATGGAGGTGATGCTGGCAGGACAACCAGTGTTCATCCACTTCATGGCATATTACAAGCACCTAGGGACCATTTTCAGCTCCAATCACTCAATGGATCAAGAAATTGCCACCAGAATCGGAATGGCGAAAAGTGCTTTTGCGCAAATAGCAGCACCTATTTTGTGCAACAAGCACATTCCTGAAAACACAAGGCTCAGACTCTTTCGTGCACTGATCGAAAGTCGACTTTTCTTTGGTATGGGAGCCTGGAAGACGCCAACGACTCGGCAACTTGCGAAGCTGCATGCCACGCTTGTTTCCATGTTGCGGAGGATTTTCCGATTGAAACCAGAAGAAATACTCCATACCAATGCAGCCACTCTTTTCCATCGAGCAAAGATTTCCTCTCCCAGAGCAAGACTTGCGGTAGACAGGCTCCTGTATGCACAGCGAGTTTGGCAGCACGGACCTGAGATGTTGCAACACTGCTTGCATAGGGAAGAAGCTTTGTTGACAGATTCATGGCTATTTGGCCTCAAGCACGATCTTGCCTGGCTTAGTGCCTTGGAACAGGATGGGAATCTCCCACTACAAGCCATCCAGAGTGTCAGTCAGCCTGAGAATGCAGATTTGACTGAGCTTTTTGATTTTTGGCAGGCAGGAGGTGATGCATGGAAAGTTGGTGTTAGCAAGGCATGGAGACGTTTTCTTTTTCAGGAGACTATGATGCATGAACTCATCGGCATGCACAAGAAGTTTTTCCGTGTCCTGGAAGAGGCCAATGCTAGCTTTGATCCCTCTCCCTTTGATGCAGCGGATGGCTTGACATGTACATTTGCTTGTGGATGTGGGAGACAGTTCACGTCAGCCCAGGGCCTGGCCACCCATAAACGTCAAGCCCATCAAGAGTTCTCTTTGGAGCATGATCTGTTGGAAGGAGCCACATGTCCTGAATGCCTGCGACACTTTTGGACGAAACAGCGTCTCTATCAACATTTGTCATATGTGTCTAGACGCACAGGGGTCAATCCGTGCTACCAAGCACTGCGCAGAAGAGGGTTCAAGGCACAGCAGGAGATTGGCGGTTTTAGCCTCATGCCTCATGAAGTCAAGGGCCTAGGTAGGGTTGAAGCTCTGCGAGCACAAGGTCCCATGCAGCCTGTTCCAGACCGAGGACAGGAAGACCAGAGGACTCTGCAAGCGAAACTTCAAAGCCTCCAGCAGGAATTGTGTATCTCCTGTATGCCAGAGGACCCTGACTCGGCCAAGGCACGGTTATGTACCTTCCTGACCGTAACCACAGAAGAATGGTACCAAGAATTTTGTGCGGATGGATTTGCCGAAGAAAATGTGACACTGCTGCCAGATCGATGGTTAGCAGTCCTTTTCAAGTTTGGCGAAGGGATGGACGAATGGATCGAGTATGAGATTCTCCAATGGGGACAACATTGTCTGCCAGATGTGATTGCGGGATTTGTTGATGGAGTTGCAGAGAGACTTGTGGACGAAGAATATGCACAGATGATCGAGGATTTCCCTCGTGTACAAACCTTGCGCAAAATTGCCCACTTGAAAGCCAAGGATGCATTTCTGGAGACCGACAAGGATCTGCCATTTCCACACAGACAACCCCAAAGAGGGCATGCCAATCCTAAAGAAAGAGCAACCAGTGCAGCACATGTGCCGGGAGTTTTTGAAGACCAAGAGAAATTTTTCGAGCAAGTCAGGAAAGCTAGATGGCTGGATTTACCAGATGAAGCCCAGATGCCGATGTACCAGCATCCTTGCCAGGGGAAGCTGTTTGTCATTGCCCACCTTTTCAGTGGGCGGAGAAGGGAAGGCGATGTACATGAACGGCTACATTTTTGGGCCCACAAAGCAGGGGTACAGATCCTGGCTTTATCACTGGATACGGCTAACTCGGCGACATATGGTGACTTGCACCACCAAGGTGTCACGTGGCAGCAACTGCTCAAGCTTTACCAGGCAGGTAAGATAGCAGCAACGCTCACAGGGGCACCCTGTGAAACCTGGTCAGCAGCCCGGCATTTCTTTCTTGAAATCGAATCACACATCGACACCAAGCATTTCCCAAGACCGCTGCGTGATAGACAAAGACTTTTTGGACGCAGGCACCTTACCGCTAAGGAGCTGAGGCAACTGAAACAGGGGACTTTGTTCTTCATGCAGATGATTACGACAGTGGCGTGGGCATTGAGGACACGGGGACTTTACATCAGTGAACATCCGGCCATTCCACAGAACCAAGAAGCTGCGAGTATCTGGTGTACCCCGTGGATCCAACTTCTGTGTGCCCATCCGGACATTGCTCTCCATACGGTCAGTCAGTGGCGTTGGGGCTGTACAGTTAGCAAGCCGACTGGGCTCCTTGCCTTGCGACTTCCCCGCTTTAGGGCATCCATGTATAGTAGACAGATGCCGGAAGCAGCCAAGCCACAAGAGGTGGCTATCGGGCTGGGTACAGATGGGAAATTCAAAACGGCGGCCCACAAAGAATACCCGCCGTATTTTTGCGATGCACTGGCAGGAACGTTGATCGACCAAATCAAGACCTGCCAGTTGCAACGAAATTGCACAGTCACGGCTGACATTGAGCCGGAGCTTGCGAATTGGCTGGCAGAAGCTGCAGTACAGTGTAGCGTGCTGCGAGAGGCAGCGACATGGTTGCCAGATTACCAACGCAGGTGACTTTTTCCTAATTCAGGTACTTGACACAGGTACCACTGCAAGGCGGCAAGGGACAACCTTTCAAGCCTCGAAAAAAAAAGTCAACGTATTTTTTATTTTCAAGTTTCCCGTTACCAAGAGATCGACAGTCCCTGCATCAGGTATCACCTGTTGTACACACCTCACTTAGCTGAGGTAGAGAGGGCTTCCAGCTTGACGCACCGCTTCCTGAAGGTTAGCGTTGTAACGCTTCATCCAGGCGGCCTGCTTGCTTGCGGATGTATTCAGAAAATCGATGGTCTTCAAATCCGACTCATTGACTGGTATATACACCCTGTCATCTGGAGCAGCGAACCACCATCGCAAATGGCTGTGAGCGCGAGCTTAAGGCCCTTGCAATCATGCGAAGAATACAAGGGTTCGGCCTCCGTGCTTGATGCACGTACTAACCGAACCAGTCGTCGGATAGCCGACCTCGCTCTGAGCAAGAGCTAAGGCGCTACCCACGATGGTAGGTGCACCGTGCTTCTTGATGATCGCACGAAGTGCTGCCATATGTACATACTCCAAAATAATCCAAGTGGTTGGCAGTTTTAGCCATCCATGATCAATGCAATCAAATCAGGCGGTCATGGATGCCCATCTCTCCAAATGGGGTACTGTATTCATAGAGGTTTCACGGTTTTTCATCCTATCTGTTGAGGTCGGAATTTGTGTATCTTTTGGACCCGTCGTGTCAATCGTTTTTATTTTCTCGCTTTTTAGGCAATCCCCCAAATCATGGGTTAACCATCAAAAAGTCAAGATTGTTTATGTGTTTAACCATCAAAAATCCTGGCTTAACCATCATGGGTTTAACCATTCAATACTGCATCTACCCTGGCAGATAGGGGTTGGAAGACTAGTTTCCATTAAAAAATTGGTGATTTTCAGGGTCCAACTGTTAATTTACCAGAGGGTAAAAGGAACATGTTCCTCCAGTGGCTTGTCACTTGATTCCCAGTTGGGGATACTTGAAACGTCTCCAGAGATCTGGGTTTGAAACGTCTCCACTTTTCCGAAGTTGACCGAAGCCTCGTAGCTTCTGTTAGGGTAATCTAAGTGTATCCCAAAATGAACCAACTGTTCAGAATGATTTACCATGATTTACCTATTCAACATGGTGGATCGTTCCAGTTCGCAAACTGTAACAGTTTACCAGAGGCTAATCTATATACCCTCTGGTAATTTAACATAGCTATTGAAAATCACCATTTTATAGCTGGGAAAATCCACTATTTCTATGGCCATTTTCAATAGCTATTTTGACATAACCAGAGGGTAAACCTCCATTTTCCTATGGTTTTCCTATGGTTTTCCTATGGTTTTCCCATGAATTTCCAGTCATAGCTACGATCCGTTCCTCTCCGCTACTTCTCGCCATCGCACCTGGTGGGCCATCTCCAGCACCTCCACCAGGCTCACGGTTTCTGGCGCCTCCACAGATCTCACGGCTATTTTTGTGAACTCGGCAGATTTTTCACAATCCAATGGTGATTTATATGGTGATTTTCCCAATGATACCAATCAGATACAACTGTATCATACCAAATGGTGATACTAATCCAATTGATACTAGATGGTGATGCTAATGCTGCTAATGGTGATACTAATTTTGTGATATTTTCCCATATAACTATAATCAGATACTAATGGTGATTTAGTATCATAGCAAATTTTCTGATTGGCAAATCTGTATCTGATAATATGCTATGATACTATACTAAATTGAAATCCAATGCACTCCCTTGTCATTTCAACTAATCACTTCAGTATCTGATGAGTTGATTATGGGAGTTCACACATGGGTCATTAAATGTCCCCATTGAACATCACCCAACCATGAATGGTATATGGTCTACTAGATGGCTACTATAAGGTGATGTCCAATATTCCCAAAATGGGACAGTTACCAACCCCTGTCACAATACTGATGGCAAAAAAAATGAAAGGTATCAGTATCTCAAGATACTGATAATCATACCCTCTGGTCAACATTCACAGATTGCGAACTTGAACATGGCCCAGTCGAAATAGGTGATTTTCCCATTCAAAATGGTGATTTTCCAGTTCTCAAACTGTTAGTTTACCAGAGGGTAATGCACACAAATCTGAACAGTTGGTTCATTTTGGAATAGTTACCCTACTATTTAACATCAATTTATGTAAACCGTTTACCAGATGGTAGATCTTCATGGATCAAAGAAGATCATCCATTCAGTTTTTCCTGCCCCCGAGCTTCCCTACGGTGGCATAGTCAGGCCTCAGAGTGGGTCTGAGATCTGGTTGAACGACCAAAATTTAGACCCCTGATATCTGATGTAATATGATTAAAACATAATAATATGATGTCATGGGGATATCATCTGTGTATATATATATATTAGACATACATTACATTACATTACATTGCATTGCATTACATTCCAATACAATACAATACAATACAATACAATACATCCATCCATGCATGCATGCATACACACAAATTTAATCTCAACAACACGATATAGGTTTCTTCACAATAGCGGGATTTAGCCCAGTATCTTTTCAGCTACACCTCTGAAACCAGGGCCATCACAACAGATCTGGTGATTTGTTGGTCCCCTGCGAAGGACTGGTTGACACCTTTCACACCTCTTAGTGGCTTAAATTATTTATGTTCATCTATCCAACATCACCTAAGCCCCAAAACACTTGACATATCTCCACCTTTTTGCGTATGGCTGTCCATCCAGTTCAAAATGGAAGTCCTCTTGGGGTTCACTCTTTTGGGCCTGCTTCTGAATGGACATTGGGACCTCGGGAAAGGCTGCTGCAAATGGTCTCAAAACCTATGGATTTGGCTGTTAATTTTGGACCTCCAAAATCTCATGGTCAGTCACCATTGGTTGAATTCCCCTGAGCTACCCTCTGGTTATTTAACATAGCCATGGAAAATGGCCCATTTATAGATGGTTTACCTATTAAAAATGGTGATTTTCCATGGCTATGTTAAATAACCAGAGAGTAACCATAATTGTTGGCACTTGTGGCGGGACATCTGCATGCTTCGAAACAAGGACAAACTTTTTTGTTACAGCTCTATGTGATCCTCACGTGATGGCAACATGCGCGATGCTCGTCGAAATAAACACTTCTGTCTACCCTTCACTAAACCTGTCCCATCATTATCACTAAACAGGAATTCCCTGGATTTCCCTATGTCCAACTGATTGCACACTCAAATATGTCCATTGTTTCAGGTTTAACGTTCAACACATCCCAATCTATCATGTGCCTGGGAAATGCTAGCTCCAACAGGATCCCCATGCTCTCCATAGGGAATTTTTTGGGATACCCTTAGCTCAGTTTTTGCCTATCCCATTGGGGTTCAGCCAAATCAAAAAAGGAATTGTCTAAACTGGTTCCCGTAAGCATCCCGACCAAACCAATCCCATGAAATGTTTGGTGGGTGGAATCCCCTAACATTCCATGAGTTTCTTCATCCCATCGGTTGTAGCTAAGAAAAACAAGTTTCCATTTCCTGTAATGTGGGTAAAATATGGTAAAACAATAATAAACCATCTCCCAAATCACCATAAATACGTGGTATGTTCACCATTCCCAGTCATGGGTGGTTTATGACATTGTTTTACCCACATTAACCATGATATAACCATGATATAACATTGAAAAATGTGGACTTAACATGACTTACCTTCCAGTAAATTAACATAGACCCTGGCAGATAAGGGTTGGAAGATTAGTTTCCACTAAACATGGGTGATTTTCAGGGTCCAACTGTTAATTTACCAGAGGGTATTTTAACATGACTTTAAAAATCTAAGTTCCCATTTCCATTTTTGCTAAACTCATCCATCTCGGCTCAAAAAAAATACCATCCAAAGGGCTCGTCGCTCAAACCGCAGGGATCCACCCACTGCATTTCACATTCCTGCGACAATGGGTTTGAGTGGGTTTATATGGATTTAAATAAATAAATATATATATATATTGGGAATCCCCCATATATATATATATCCATATATCCATATATATATATATATCCATATATGTAGACTTTCGAGTGGCTATGTTTTAAGGAGGCCACAAGTGTTTGGGCCTACCTTTTGAAAATCGGCTGGGTGGTACATGAAAAAACGCTTTGAAAAGTGTCTCAACTACTTCTTGTGGTGCTAATTCCTGAAACATAAAAAACTTTGGATTGCACTATTTTTAGGCATCATAACTTGGGGACTATGAACATTTACATATTTCTTGTGCAGAGGAGCACTGCAAAAATGGGGGTGTTTACCCCCAAGGGTCACCCGCGGTCCGCTTTCATCTCAACCACGATTTGATTGGTCACATTGTCCAGCTTGATTTCACACATGTGAAGATCAGTTAAGGTTCACATTTTTGCCGAACTTAATCAATTTTTGACCAACCTGAACAACTTTTGAGCAACTTGACCAATTTTTCACCAGCATGACCAAGTTGGTCAATTTCTGACCAACTTGACCAACTCTTGACCTACTTCACCAAGTTGGTCATTTTTGACCAACTTGACCAACCTTTGACCAACTTGACCAAGTTGGTCAATTTACCAACTTGACAAATTAATGAACAATTTGACCAAGTTGGTGAAAAATTGACCAAGTTGGTCATTTTTGATCAACTTGACCAACTTTTGACCAACTTGACCAACTTTTGACCAACTTGGCAAACTTTTGACCAAGTTTGTGATTTTTCACGAACTTGACCAACTTTTGACCAAGTTGGTCATTTTTGACCAACTTGACCAATTTTTTGCCAAGTTCGTCATTTTTTACAAATTTTGTCAATTTCTGGCCAAGTTGGTGATTTTTGACCAACTTGGCCAACTTGACCAACGGTTGGCCAAGTTGGTGATTTTTTAACCAACTTGACCAACTTTTGGCCAAGTTGGTCATTTTTGACCAACTTGACCAACTTTTGACCAAGGTTGTTATTTTTGACCAACTTGGCCAAAAATTGGCCAAGTTGGTGTTTTTTGACCAACTTGTCAATTTTTGACCAAGTTTGTGATTTTTGGCCAAGTTTGTGATTTTTGACCAACTTGGTCAACTTTTGACCAAGTTGGTGATTTTTGACCAACTTGGTCAATTTTTGGCAAAGTTAGTGATTTTTGACCAACGTGGTCAACTTTTGACCAAGTTGGTAATTTTTGACCAACTTGGTCAATTTTTTACAAAGTTGGTGGTTTTTGACCAACTTTGCCAATTTTTGACCAAATTAGCCAAGTTGGTGATTTTTGAACAACTTGGTTAATTTTTGGCTAAGTTGGTGATTTTTGACCAACTTGGTCAATTTTTGACAAAGTTGGTCATTTTTGACCAATTTGACCAGATTGACAAACTTTTGACCAAGTTGGTCATTTTTGACCAACTTGACCAATTTTTGACCAACTTTACCAACTTTACCAACTTTTGACCAACTTTACCAACTTTACCAACTTTTGACCAACTTTACCAACTTTTGACCAACTTGAACAACTTTTGACCAACTTTACCAACTTTACCAACTTTTGACCAACTTTACCAACTTTTGACCAACTTTTGACCAACCTGACCAACTTGACCAACTTGACCAACTTGACCAACTTAAGGGCACAAGAAGTGTTTGCAGCCAAATTAAGTTGGTCAAAAATCACCAACTTGGTCAAAAGTTGACCAAGTTGGTCAAAAATCACAAACTTGGTCAGGTCAAAAATTACAAACTTGGTCAAAAATTGACTAAGTTGGTCAAAAATCACCAACTTGGCCAAAAATTGACAAAGTTAGTCAAAAATCACCAACTTGGCAAAAAATTGACCAAGTTGGTCAAAAATCACCAATTTGGTCAAAAATTTGCCAGGTTGGTAAAAAATGACCAACTTGGTCAAAAGTTGGTCAAAAATGACCAACTTGATCAAGTTGGTCAAAAGTTGGTCAAGTTGGTCAAAAATGACTAATTTGGTCAAAAGTTTGTCAAAAGTTGGTCAAGTTGGTCCAAAATGACGAACTTAGTCGAATTTTGGCAAGTTGGTCAAAAATAACAAACTTGATCAAGTTATTCAAAAGTTGGTCAAGTTGGTCAAAAATGACCAGCTTGGTCAAAAGTTTGTCAAGTTGGCGAAAAATGACCAACTTGGTCAAGTTGGTCAAGTTGGTCAAAAATGACAAATTTGGTCAAAAGTTGGTCAAGTTGGTCAAAAATGACCAACTTGGTCAATTTGGCCAAAAGTTGGTCAAGTTGCTCAAAAATGACCAACTTGGCCAAAAGTTGGTCAAAAGTTGGTCAAGTTGGTCAAAAATGACCAACTTGGTCAATTTGGCCAAAAGTTGGTCAAGTTGCTCAAAAATGACCAACTTGGCCAAAAGTTGGTCAAAAGTTGGTCAAGTTGGTCAAAAATGTCAAACTTGGTCCAAAGTTGGTCAAGTTGGTCAAAAATTACAAATTTGGTCAAATTGGTTAAAGGTTGGTTGGGTTGGTCAAAAATGACTAAGTTGCTCAATTTGTCACCAACTTGACCAAATTTTGACCAACTTGACCAAGTTGGTCAATGTTTGACCAACTTGACCAAGTCATTGGGACGCCTGTGTCCCCAAACTGATTTCACATGGTTTAACTATGCTTAGCTAAGCGCATGCATGTTCTGATTACAAACAGAAAAGGAAATGAACCAGAAATTGGCAACGAAAGGATGAACTGCAGGTGGAAGGTGCTCAAAATGTACCAAAACAACCCTCGTATGGAAATAAAGGCTTCACAAGTGGTTGTGCCCAACACCCCTCTGCCGTCAGTTGACAAAAAGCATTCCAACAGGGCAATACTACTTCTTGGTGCACTATTTTTTTAAAACCTTAAAACGAGGCAACTTGAAATTCTACATCCATATATCCATATATATATATATACATATATATATATATATACATATCCAAATATATATATATATATATATTTCTATACTTCTCAGATGGGTTCATGTGAGGTGCCCCCAACTGCTTTGTGGGTTGGCCAAGGCCTGAAAAAAATACTTTACTTCGAGTGATCCCCACCATGACATCTATACGTTTTGTTACTGGCAAATCTTCTGGCATTCTATATCTTCTGGCATTCGATCTGGCATTCTATCTGGCATATCTTCTGGCATTCTACCTGGCATATCTTCTGGCATATGCTCTGGCATATCTTCTGGCATTCTATCTGGCACATCTTCTGGCATATCTTCTGACATCCTATCTGGCATTCTATCTGGCAAATCTTCTGGCATTCTATCTGGCAAACATTCTGGCACTTTATCTGGCATACCTTCTGGCATTCTATCTGGCATACCTTCTGGCATTCTATCTGGCATATCTTCTGGAATTTTATCTGGCATATCTTCTGGCATATCTTCTGGCATTTTACCTGGCATATCTTCTGGCATTCTATCTGGCAAATCTTCTGGCGTTCTATCTGGCAAACATTCTGGCACTTTATCTGGCATACCTTCTGGCATTCTATCTGACATTCTATCTGGCATATCTTCTGGCATATCTTTTGGCATTTTATCTGGCATATCTTCTGGCATTCTCTCTGACATTCTATCTGGCGTTCTATCTGGCATATCTTCTGGCATTCTATCTGGCCGTTGAGGTCCAGCGGTGCCCACTGAGCTCGGAAGGTCCCAGGTTGAGGTCCAGCGGGAAGGTCCCAGGTTGAGGTCCAGCGGTGCCCACTGGGCTCGGAAGGTCCCTGGTTGAGGTCCAGCGGTGCCCACTGGACTCAGAACCTTGCGGTTGAGGTCCAGCCGAGCCCACTCAGATCGGAAGCCGGCAGTTGAGGTCCAGCAGTGCCCACTGAGCACGGAAGTTGGCGAAGAGATTGGCGACGAGTTGGCAAGGCGGAAGTGGACGTGGAAGTTGATGCAGACATGGTCGAGGAGAAGCTGGAGGAGGAGGAGGCGGAGGAGGAGAAGGAGGAGGCGGAAGAACAGCTCTGATAAAATCTAACAACCCTCACCTGGCAGGTGGGGAATAAAACATGTTCCCCTATAGATTCCCCATTTCTGGAAAAGATTTCCCATTGTAAAAAAACAGATCACCTAAGTCCTCCAAACCTGGATTCTGGTGTTCGATTTTTTGGGGCTCGTTTTGGGTTGTGAATGGAAACCTGGCAGTGCATTTTTTCGAAACTCCTTGGGGAAAACCCGCAGATTTCGGTTGAAGAAACCCCCAGATACGGTGATTACATGACGGTGTCGACATCGATCTACCCAAATGCTCCCCCCTGGTGCTGGAATATGAATCCCAACATTTCGCCCAAAAAATCAAGTTTTTTTGGCAAATATACCAGCACCATGGTTCGCATATGGGTTAATGAAACGTGATTTGTTACGGAGGCACCTTTGGGAAAATAGCCTCAGATGGGTCGTTCAATGAAGGCAAAACGTCGCTAAAATCCACTCAGTGCAAAAAACAACTAGCCCATCTTAGATACTCTGGATTCTTGCTTTAGGTATTGCTGTAGCTGATTAGTATCAATATGTGTATATATATAATTATGTGTATATATATAATTATGTGTATATATATATATCTGGTTGGTGGTTTTAACCAGCTTGAGAAAATATTAGTCAATGGGACAAAATATCCCATATATTATGGAAAATAAAATATGTTTGAAACCACCAACCAGATATACATATATGATAATACATATTATGACACGCAAATTTATAGCGGAAGATTAGGTTGTACAATCGACTACCCATCCAATAGGTTTCCAAAAATACATAAAAATACCATCCGGTGTCATCAAACATGGCAACGGGAAATCCCCAATCCCCAAACAAAATGGAGGCTTTTCCATTGCCATGTTTGATTACCAGAGGATATGTTGTTGCTTGCAAATTGCAGAGTTGGAGGCTACACTGATTGAATTTTGTTATTGTTGAAATCTTAGGTTTTTCATGATGGGGCTTCCACAAGTGGAAGCTTCTGCGAGCCAAACTTGAGATCCTCTGCGATTTTGTCCAGATCATACACTGTTCTTCCCTTGTTTCTTAAGCCCAGAACAAAGGTGACTCCATTGACAATAGGATTAGCCCCTGCTGTGAGGGTGAGGGGGGCTGATAGAACCTTATCTATCTATATCTACTGTATCTATATTTATATTTATTGTCATCTATATATATATATTCACCCATATTTATCTTATTTGTTTTGGGGGGTACCCTTATAGATGCGCAAAACAATCAGAGTTTTATAGTTTTTTCTCTGGATTGATATCCCTTTCATTGGCCTTTCAGTCTTAGATTTCCTTAGTTTTTTGCCCTTCTCGATCCACTGAAACTCGCCAGCCAACACGTTGTTGAACTTAGGAACTTTTATCAAAGATTGAGTAATCGATGGTGTCCATCCAACATGGATCTCCCGGTGTTGCTATGAACTCCAGATGAAACTGTCGACTCACTTACGGCAACCATTGCGCGAAGAGGTCGATGCGCTTTGGGAATATCTGCAGGAGTTTCCCGGGTCAAGGATAGAGTTGTACCAACGTTCCCATGGTACCATCATTAGTTTCTTGCTCCATTTTGATATAATTAATTCAATTTGTTTCTCTAGCCATCAAAAAAATGAACATATTCCCTTTCGATTCCAAGCAGTGGATTTTCCATGGGGAAATGAAAAAACATCTCCAGCAAATCCAGGATTACAGCTCAACCGAGTGCTAAATCCCAAGTCAACGGCCATTTGAAGTACCTATGCAAGGGCTATTTCCACCGGAGCTCCCAAAACATGGGTTATGATGCAGCAATTACCTCCATTGAGGGTCCTGAAACTCCCATTGATGTGATATCAATTATCAAACATGGGAATTAAACCATCTGGTTGGTGGTTTCAACCCCTCTGAAAAATATGAAAGTCCAGTTGAGATGATTATTCCCAATATATGGGAAACAAAAGATGTTCCAAACCACCAACCAGATATCTCATTAACCATTATTAACCACTATTAACCACTATTAACCACCATTAACCACCATTAACTTCCATGTTCCAAACCAACCAACCAACCAACCAACCAACCAACCAACCAACCAACCAACCAACCAGTAAGTCTAAGGGAATGGTAACCGCCATGTCTCCTGATCTCCCGTCATCTCCAAGGAAATGAAGAAACCCTTGATCAGCACGGTGCTCCGTGACACGCCAGCGGCACCTTGTTTTTTTTGCACGGAACAAACGAGGTCCCAGGTGCAAGTCAATTTGTTGTGTAAAGTTGGGTTTAGTAGGGTTTAATGGGTGTTTTTGGTGATTATAAGTGGGGTTTATGCGAACGAGAACTAGGGACATCATGGGATATCAAACAACATGATTTGGTTGCGAACATATTGTGAAAATGAGGTGTGCATAGGTATATCCGAAAAATTCCCCACATAGCATTTGAATGGGGAAATCTATGACAAACCACTTGATCTTGGGATACCCTATCTTCAGACAAACTCATGTCATGGTGATATGATGGGGATATGGGGGGTGCCTGACGATTCGGAACCAGAAATCCTATGGTTGGTCATCATGTTATTTGACACACCACATAATCGGGATATAGCAAGACATGAGTGATTGAATGGTGGTGTAACCATCAGCAAAAATGAACATTGGGGTATAGAATCAACCCTTAATATGCGGATGCATTAATTAGTCCATGTTATCTGTGTATATATATATATATTTATGTGATAATGATGGTATTGATGAGGATAATATCAGCAACCATATGGTTATGATATACTATTGACATTCAGGTGTGTCAGAAAATGGTTCGTATATTCCCATAATGACAAATATAATGGGCATAAGTGGAATTCAGGGGTATCCTATGTTCAGACACAATCAGGCTAGAAAAAACAGTTTGTGCTGGTTGGTCCTCAACAAAACTGTTATACATGATTGCTAAACCCTTGTTTGAAAGTCAATAATTCATAAACACAGGGATGTTTGAACTGATTTTGTTGGGTGGGTTATATCCCAACAACAACCCTTCATATATCACTGTATTCAAAAATATAGCCATGGCAAACCAATCAACCATAAACTGGCCCCACGAGATGCCCATGACAATTTCTGATAACTGCCCACAGAATCATAGTAATTAATCCCATTACATGCCCATTGTCTTTCGTGAAACCGCCATGTTTTATTGGCTAAACCTCCCGTTTGCTGCTGTGCCCCGGACGTGCAGCTTCCCGCAGAGTGTCTCGAGCCTGTAGAAGCGAGGCTTTGTAGTTGAAATGTTCAAGTCTAAAATTTGTTTTTAATACAGAATAGATTATTAAATAACACAAAATTACATACTTGCATTACACTACATTACATTACATTACGTTACATTACATTACATTACATTATGCTACACTACATTACATTACATTACATACATAAATCAGTAAGTGCATACACTACATAGATACATTTTGTGTAAACACACATATATGCACAAACAATTTTAGTTTTTTAAACATGTAATAGATATCAGTAGTACCGCGCAAAGAGGTGGCGGAAGTTTCAAAGATGGGAAGCCTATAGGAGAGCTTGGTTGCTGTGACGCATGGATGGCAGAGCGAGCCCTCTGATGGATCGAAAGGTGGTTGAGGCTCTGATTTTCCCTCTCTGCGTCTGCCTGTCTATCCATTTATCTCTCTATCCATCCATCTGTCTGCCTGCCTATCTTTCTATCTGTCTATCCATCTTTGGGCAACCGAAGAAGCTGGGTTGGGGGGGAAGCGGGGTCTAGGGATGATTTCCGCCGGATTGGGCGGAGATGGGCAGCAGCTTGCGAACCACCTGGCCACAAGGGTTGCTGCTCTTCAACTGCAAACAAAATCCAACACATGAATGTTGAGACGAAGGTCTTTCCGGACATGAAATAATTCCGTGTGTTTTGCATGAAGAATTCTGAAGCCTTCAGCTTTTCGTATTTTGCAAATTGCAATGAGTTCAAGACACTGGTTTTCAAATTTTTCTTTCATTTGTTTCTTGAATCTTCGACGTAACACTACAACCCAGCGCAAAGATATGTGATCAGAGAGAGGATGAGGAAACACGGATACCGCAGCCCTTTTTTCTCAAGTTTTTGAGCGGCACTTGTTATAGTGTCAAACGGTTGCTTGTGGCCTGTTTGTCACTTGGAGGAGCGGTCGGTCAAGTTCTGCCAATGTTTTCAACACTGCAGCCGGGGTGTCCCCCGTTCCTTGTTGAACACTCCAGGCCCAAACCTGTCTGATTGCTGCAGCTGCTTTTTCTGCTCCTGCAGCGGTCCAAGAAATTGACTTGGTGTGTCCTCGAAAAGATAATCTCCATCTGCCATTCAAATCGTCAGCGTACGCGCGAGTGCCAATTGGCAATGACTTTTGCCAATGACACAACTAGCTGGATTGTAACCCGTAAACATGCCCATAACCAGATACCATTATCATCATAAACGCTAAGTATCGTAATCGCATTACATTTTTATGGTTTTCATGACGTCACCATTGTTGTTGTTACAAGCCCATGTTTGATGGTCAACTCTCATGAAATCCTTCTGTTTGATACTTAAATTTGCTAAAACCCTTCTGTTTGAATTGATCAAACAATTGTTTGTTCTTCAAAAACCCGATGTTTGTTGCTTAAATCCATCAATTCTCAATTCCATCAATCCATCAATTGATACTTAAAAACAGCCAAACAACTTCGCCAAAGCCTCCACTTTTGGGCTTCAAGTCCCCTGGCTTCGCCCCAGACTCGCCACCAAAAACGTCGGACTGCCTCAACGACCCGGTCACGTGAAGTTAACGATTGCGGCTGTAAGGCGATGCAACTCCTTGGCAAAATGCGCAAAATGCGGAGATCGGTGGTGGCAAAATATGATCTAATAATATGATGAAATTAATGATGATATATTGGATATGTAATGTATATAATTATCAATAGATATATGATATTTTTTGGATCATTACATCCAATGATGGATATTTAATATAGATATAAATGTAATATGTATATAATAATGATATGTAATAAAATGGTAATATGTACCCTCCAGTAATAATTATGGATGTGTAATATGTACCATCCAGTAAATTCACATAGACCCTGGCAAACGGGGGTTGAAAGACTAGTGTCCACTAAAATGTGATGTTTTCAGGGGTTGAAAGACCAGAGGGTAATATTATATGTATTATATAATAATGATATGTAATAAAATGGTAATAATAATGATATCGAATAATATGATAGTAATTTTGTATATGATGGTTCTGGAGCACATTGTTTACATATGATATATATATATATAATGATGTAATATGTATAATATGTAGATAATAGAAAATATGTAATACATAATGCATATCATTGGATGTAATGTTTCTATAATGATGACAAATAATATTATAATATATCTAAAATGGTAAATAATAATATGTGTTATAATATCCGTTGATGGTCATATAATCTGAATCTACATATACTTAATGCTTATGACTATTATATATATATAATGTTATATATCTATATATTCTGATTTCATATCCATCGTATATCACCATATTTCTCCCATCCTATCCCGGTTATAACCCGGAATAATCCCATATATTTGTCATATAGTCTGCCTTTTGTTGATGAAGCACAGTTTTTGATCAATTAAATCCCAATTCTTGTTGAAGAACCCATCCCGTTGTGATGGTTGAGTAGCAATGCTTGTTCATCAAATCCACATGTCTCTTCATGAAATCAACATGTTTCAAGGTTAAATCTCCATGTTTGTTGGAGTTAAATCCCATTAAATCACCATTGAACCCTGACGCTGTGTTTGTTGGAGTTAAATCCCATTAAATCAATCCCATTAAATCCCATTAAATCGTCCATTGTATCCCATTAAATCCCATTAAATCGTCCATTAAATCCCATTAAATCTTCCATTAAATCCCATTAAATCGTCCAATAAATCCCATTAAATCTTCCATTAAATCCCATTAAATCTTCCATTAAATCGTCCATTAAATCTTCCATTAAATCCCATTAAATTTTCCATTAAATCCCATTAAATCGTCCATTAAATCCCATTAAATCGTCCAATAAATCCCATTAAATCGTCCAATAAATCCCATTAAATCGTCCATTAAATCCCATTAAATCTTCCATTAAACACATTAAATCATCCATTAAATCCCATTAAATCGTTTATTAAATCCCATTAAATCGTCCATTAAATCCCATTAAATCGTCCATTAAATCCCATTATATCGTCCATTAAATCCCATTATATCGTCCATTAAATCCCATTAAATATTCCATTAAATCCCATTAAATCATCAATGCTTGTTGGAGTTAAATCCCATTAATTCTTCCATTAAATCCCATTAAATCGTCCATTAAATCCCATGAAAAATCATCATTTTTTCAGGTTTTTTATCCCACATGAAATCCACCATGGCTGGTTTTTTATCACCCTGTTCACCGTGGCTCACCGAACCGACCAACCGTCGACCATCCGTGGCTCAAGGAGTCCACCAAAGGTTGCGCAATGGCCATGGCACGGTTCACATCCTGGACGTGTCGACATCGTTTCATCGTACGCGGGGCTTGGGGAACGATCGAAAAATGGCGGGGAAGCCATGGCACAATAATGATGATTAATGGTTAACGGTCAATAATGGATGATGATGATGATTATTATTATTATTGGATATTTGGTTAATAATGATCCCATGATGCGTAATGGATAATGATGATTAATGGTTGATGACGATTCATGATTATTTGGTTAATTAAATCATGGTTAATAATGATGATTAATGGATTAATGGTGATTTCCATGAATGGAACATATATCTGGTGAATCAATGTAAATCATGGTTAGTGTTGATTAATGGTGATGATACAATGGTGAATTGTATGGTTTTATAGGGTTTATATGTGGTTGTATAAGGCTTTAGGTGGTTTCATGAGATAAAACATGGGACACATTCATGGGATAGTCATAGATATGCCGAAGAACGGTGGAAACCGCATGGCAAGCTGGAAAATCCATGGCAACGAAGGTTTTTTTGGTGAACATATTCAGATGGGCTGGTTGCATAACTGGTTATAACTGGTTGCTGGTGGTTTCTACCCCCCTGAAAAATGATGGACTTCGGATTGGGTCATCATCCCCAACTGGGGAAAATAAGAAAAATTCATGTTCCAGTCAGCACCATTAACCATTATTATGAACCATTATTAACCACCATTATTATGAACCATTATTAACCACCATTAATCATATACCATTATTAACCACTATTATTCATGTTAACCATTATAGTATTTCATGTTAACCATTAAAATAATATTTCATATACCATTATTAACCACTATGAATCACCATGATCCACCACCATCCCGTTGGGGCAATCCATAGCCTTTTTTGCAATCTGTCATGATATCGCAGCGGCCATGATCATCTTCTATTCATGGGAAAATTGCCAATTATACGAATTAACCATTATTATACCATGATTAAACCATTATTAACCATTATTAACCATTATCAAACAATTATTAACAATGATTAAACCACTATTAACCATGGGAAAATTGCTAATTATTAACAACTATTATACCATGATTACTGTAGCCATTATTAACTATTATACCATTATTAACCATTATTTCCCATGAATATTTTAGGGATCACCAATGAGGCGCTGTTTGGATCAGGATAGGGTCATCGCATCAAATGAATCATCGCTGTCAAGTTACCCGGCCTGGTAAACGTTAACAAAAAACGGTAGAAAATAACTATTTTTCAGTGGGAAAATCACCATTTTTCAATGGGAAAATCACCATTTTTCAATGGGAAAATCACCATTTTTCAATGGGAAAATCACCATTTTTCAATGGGAAAATCACCATTTTTCAATGGGAAAGTCACCATTTTTTAATGGGAAAATCACTATTTTTAATGGGACAATCACTATTTTTAATGGGAAAATCCACTATTTCGACTGGGCCATTTTCAAGTTCGCAAACTGTGAATGTTTACCAGAGGGTACATGGGATAAATAGGGATACCATCTGGATATGACATTCACAGTTTGCCATGGAAAGATCCACCATGCTATTAAGAACGGTGAACCATCGAACTTTCTATGGGCCATGGCTTCCATGGCTAGCCGTGTGAATGTCATAACCAGAGGGTAAATTCTTTGTTCATCCCATTGAGGGAATCCATGGATGACCAACCCCTCTGAAAAATATGAGTTCGTCAATGGGAAGGATGACATCCCATATATGAAATGGAAAATAATCCATTCATGTTCCAAACCACCAGCCAGCCATTGAGTTTTGGATTCGTCAATTGTCATGAATGGGATTGATTCGGTACAAAAATGGGTGCCAGGGGATGGTAAATGAGATGTTTTTTTTGCATATCACCCAACCAAAAAAGGTGTTATCAATGACAACCCCTGATTGTGGTCAATGATGGGGATATTCCATGGAGCTTCTCTTTGTTTCTAAATCCCATTCCAATAATTAACAGAGTTAAAATTCATATCATCTGAAGTGGTGTTCCAATGGTGGGGATTATTTTGTAAGTAACTATTCCTGGGCCTTGTAACTAGTAACTGCATAGAATACAGATGCAGATTTTCCGAAGTTAAAAAACAAACAACGCAGACGTCACCAGCAAAAATGGTGGTGCAATGGGATATTATAATGGGGATTATAATGAGGATTATTTTGGGGACATCCTATGATATAATGGGGATATGATGTAGCCAACTTAGTAACTTGGGATAATTTACTATCATCCCCCACGAATTGGGTTATACTCCACCCAACATGAAAACCCGGCGAAAGAGCCGGTTTTTTGCCCGACCGCCTCCAGCCCCGACGAGGAATCGCAGCTGGATGTGTCGTCCCAGGCCCATTGATCTTCCTCTTTGGCCTCAGCGATTCAAATGGGGACTTCACCCCCAATAAAAACGGGGGATTCACCATCAAACTGTTTGGGATTTCACCATAAAAAGATGACATCCCATCATACTATATATATATATATATAGATATATATATATATATAATATAGATATATATATATATATTATATAGATATATATATATATATTATATAGATAATTTAGGGATATTTAGGGTCTATCAAAACAGTTTCTAACCTTGGTGAATTTGAGCGAGCATGCATGTTCGCCCAATGATCTGCAACCATGTAGTCACTCCACTGTTGTTTCCCCAAATGAGCTCAGATCCTCATTACTCTCCGATATCCATGAAATACAAGATGATGCCTGGGAGTATCTTTAAGACATTGAAAGTGTCAACTCCCTGAAAGTGCCAACGATCAGGGAAGGCCGGCCCGAACACAGAACGAGGAACGGAACGGGAACGGAAAGGGAACGGAACGGGAACGGAACGGGAACGGAACGCGCACACGCGAAATGCCTGTTCAACATCTAAGGGATTCGCGGCTTCCATCTGCATTTCTAGCTGCTGGCAAAAAGCAGATGGCACTTCATAACAGTTATCTCCTGCATTTGGTCATTCCATCTGCATTTAGAGCCGCTCGCAAAATGCAAGTGGTTTCTTGTGCGTTCAGTCCTTTCAGACAGGAAAACCAATTGGCTTCCTTCAGTAACATATTTGCATTCTGCTACTGTCACAAAATGCAGCTGGGAACTTTGGATTGTGGGACACGGTCATTTGCATTTCTAGTTGCTGGCAAAAAGCAGATGGCACTTCATAACAGTTATCTCCTGCATTTGGTCATTCCATCTGCATTTAGAGCCGCTCGCAAAATGCAAGTGGTTTCTTGTGCGTTTAGTCCTTTCAGACAGGAAACCCAATTGGCTTCCTTCAGTAACATATTTGCATTCTGCTACTGTCACAAAATGCAGCTGGGAAATGCGGATTGTGGGACACAGTCATTTGCATTTCTAGCTGCTGGCAAAAAGGAGCTGGCAATTCATAACAGTTATCTCCTGCATTTGGTCATTCCATCTGCATTTAGAGCCGCTCGCAAAATGCAAGTGGTTTCTTTTGCGTTCAGTCCTTTCAGACAGGAAAACCAATTGGCTTCCTTCAGTAACATATTTGCATTCTGCTACTGTCACAAAATGCAGCTGGGAAATGCGGATTGTGGGACACGGTCATTTGCATTTCTAGTTGCTGGCAAAAAGCAGATGGCACTTCATAACGGTTATCTCCTGCATTTGGTCATTCCATCTGCATTTAGAGCCGCTCGCAAAATGCAAGTGGTTTCTTGTGCGTTTAGTCCTTTCAGACAGGAAACCCAATTAGCTTCCTTCAGTAACATATTTGCATTCTGCTACTGTCACAAAATGCAGCTGGGAAATGCGGATTGTGGGACACAGTCATTTGCATTTCTAGCTGCTGGCAAAAAGCAGATGGCACTTCATAACAGTTATCTCCTGCATTTGGTCATTCCATCTGCATTTAGAGCCGCTCGCAAAATGCAAGTGGTTTCTTTTGCGTTTAGTCCTTTCAGACAGGAAACCCAATTGGTTTCCTTCAGTAACATATTTGCATTCTGCTACTGTCACAAAATGCAGCTGGGAAATGCGGATTGTGGGACACGGTCATTTGCATTTCTAGCGATTATTTGCGATTGTGTGTGGTTTTCACCCATACAGGATTCCCGGTCCTCCAAGGAAACAGGTCTTTAGGCAGCGCTGTGCCAATAGCAGCATCACACCAACATGAGCAGGCAGGGATGGTCGGTTGAACAGAAATCCTATGGCAATGGTATTGCTGCTCCCCAGGCTCGCGTGCAAAAACAGCACTGCCACTAGCTTGTAAACGACAAGAATTTACATATCACACGTTAACGTGTATAATGAACTGTCCTGCAACTGCGGCGATCTGTAGTATGATAAAAATCTGTCACATCCTCTATGTCGGTGAACTTTGCTTACAAGGCCCTGAGCACGGCTAGATTTCCCGCTGGCTTCCCCACCAGCGAGATCTGAGCCGGAAGGCAACACAAATTCTCATAGGAACGGAGACGCAGACACAGAAACACCTTGTGTTGTAAGCACATCCCTGGTCATGTGCATGGTGCCAAACCAGTCATGAAGAATCCGTGGTTGAAAGTGAAAAACGTATTCGGAAAGAGGCCGAAAAAAAAATCTATCTAGCATGGTTGCGTGAAGCCAAAACAAATCAATTTGCATATATCATATATCCAAAACCCTTTCCTAGTCATTGCTAGCCAATGTCAAACCCTATTTGCATTTGTACAATCTGCCAAAATGCATCTAAGATCTGTTTTGCCACTAGCACACTTATCTGAATTTAGTGCAGTGCAGGAAACGCAAATAGAATTTGCATTTTTCTTTTTCACACAAGTCAGCCGGTGTCAAACCCCATCTGCATTTCCAGAAGCTGCCAAAATGTAACTAAAAACTGCTTTGCCCCTTTCCTAGTCGATGCTGGCCAATGTCAAGCCCTATCTGCATTTGTACAATCTGCCAAAATGCATCTAAGATCTGTTTTGCCACTAGCATATTTATCTG